ACCCTTAATCTGGTTGCTTGAGGTTTAAAAGGAACACTCCATGTCACATTACTGCTATAGAGCGTTGTAATGGTTATGCTAACCTGGTGCCACCACTTCCACGCCATTGTCGTTAGTAAAACAGTTTTTTATAATGCTCTTTCTACCTATGGTCTGCTGAATGCTGCTACCTGCCTCCACTACTTCCAATAGAGATCTGGAAGCTCCTAAGTAGTAGCTTCAGACTTTGTTTAAAGGGACACTATAGTCACCTGAACAACTTTAGCTTAATGAGGCAGTTTGGGTGTATAGAACATGCCCCTGCAGCCTCACTGCTCAATCCTCTGCTATTTATTTGTTAAATCCCTGTGTTTATGAACCCTAGTCACACCTCCCTGCATGTGACTTGCACAGCCTTCCATAAACACTTCCTGTAAAAAGAGTCTTATTTAGGCTTTCTTTATTGCAAGTTCTGTTTAAGATTTTCTTATCCCCTGCTATGTTAATAGCTTGCTAGACCCTGCAAGAGCCTCCTGTATGTGATTAAAGTTCAATTTAGAGTTTGAGACACAATTATTTAAGGTAAATTACATCTATTTGAAAGTGAAACCATTTTTTTTTTTTTTTTTTTTTCCCCAATGCAGGCTCTGTCAATCAGACAGGGGAGGTGCGGCTAGGGCTACAGAAACAAAGTGATTTAACTCCTAAATGACGGTGAATTGAGCAGTGAAATTGTAGGGGAATGATCTATACACTAAACTGCTTTATTTAGCTAAAGTAATTTAGGTGACTCTAGTGTTCCTTTAAAAGTAGTGGAAGCAGCATCTGGCAGCCCTCACGTGAAAGTGTTTTAAAAACAGGCACTCGACACCAAAACCACTACAGTGTGCTGTAGTGGCTATGGTGCTTGAAGTTTTACTTTGTCACATTTGATTTATGTAAATAGGTGATTTGAGTAGTGTTAATAATCCACCAAACTTGTTACCCTGGATTTCATGCAGGAAAGTTATTTTAGATATGTCAACCCTACAACTATTCCAGCAGAAAAAAAAAAAAAAAAAACTTTGAGAAGTATGTATGCTGTATGATTTGGCAATATCCTCTAAAAGGTCAGCTGTGTTGTAGTTGGCAAATATATTAAACAGATTGCATATTAGATTATATGTAAAATAATGTATTATACTCAAGCAGAACAAAAAGGTCCCAAAATAAGAAGTCTTAGTTTTCAGAAAGGATATCTTTACAATTTTAAAACGAAGAAATTAGAACATAATTGGTAACCTTGCAAATGCAAATTAAAGAACTTTCCTATTAAAATGTAATAGATTACAATGGTTTAGTTGGGCTTTATACTCTAACATGTCTGCTCTTCATTATCAATTGTATATTCCATCTTAGCCTATTCATTCAGTATGCCACATGTTCTTGACATGCACGTAAAAATGTGCCCTTGCTGGGTTGCCAGAAAGTGTACAAAATTACACTACGGTTAAAACTCGTGCATTAAAGACTCCGGGCGCCAAAATCAGATCAGTGGTATGAACTTGCCTTTATCCGTCGGTGTTCATTTAAATCAGGACTGCACCACATAAGGCCTGCAAAAAATGTAGAGGGCGAAGAGGAGGAAGATCCCAGCAGGCACCACCAGGTGCAGAGCTGCAGACTGAGGTCAGCAACGCTCTGATACTGCCAGTGCCAGGGCTTGTGTAACACCTCTACCACATGGTCTGCAGCTCTGCAGCCTGGAGAGTTACCGGACCACTAGGGAATGGATTACGGCACATTTATTTTTATATGTATATTTATGGGGAGACTGGGGCTGGTCACATTGTTACCGCACCTTCCAAACAGTCACCCACATCCACAGTTACTCGTAACCTACTGTCAAGTTGTGCAACAATCAACCTTTAAATTAGCTACCGACTTGAATTAAGCAAGTTTTACAGATATCAGACAATTTTAAAAATTACTTGTCATTTTCTTTTTTTTCTTGGCCAAAATCCAGGTCAGCATCACTAATGGGTTAAGTTCCTCCCTCTCAGCTGATAGGGCAGATATAATAAAATTTAACATGTATAAAAGGACCCTCCTCCCCAATACCAGCAGTGTAGTTTCCAAATAAAACAAAATGAGAGGGAATTTTGATGATATCGATAGTAGACAGGAAAAGAAAATGATATTGTTTACATTTTCTGTTTTCCTGACTAATCCATGTCAGCATCACTAATGGGACTTCCAAAGCTAATTGGGTGGGAATTAATCAAACCAAACAGAATGCTGCAGAAGTGAGAACACTTTCTCCAAAGGATTGTGAAGCTTGACTTGAAACATTTAGGCGGGAACCTCTAACAAACATGCTGGTTGTATGTCTTCAGTAAATGTGATCGTCAAAGACGCCCGTGATTTTCTAATATTTTTAGTTCTCTCAAAGTAGGAATTTAGGGTTATTACATCAAGTTTAGGTCAATAGGTATCATCCTCAGATGATGGATTTGGGATAAAAAAAAAAAAAAAGTAGATAAAATTTCTTGATTTTGGTGAAATCTTGAAACTACCTTCAGCAAGAGGTCTGAGGAGCACTTTTTCTCTCAGGAATTAAGCGAAAGGAGATTAAGATAAAGCCTGTATGTTCAAAGCTCTGCGAACCGACGTGATTGCCATCAATAAAATGCATTTCCAATATAAATCCTATATGAGAGGATTCAATAGGTTCAAATGGAGGGCTTGACATACTGTGCAGATTCGTTGCTGTCAGTAACAAAATTCTTTATTGGGGGTGGGATACGCATTACGCCCCTCATGAAATGCATAAGAGTGGGATCCAGGGCCCATTGTTTATTAGATATAGCTGAAATGACTGATGTTTGGGCTTTTCAGGAGCTTAGACCAGGCTTCCCCAAACTCCAGCTATCCAGATGTTGCTGAACTACAACTCCCATTATTCTCAGCCTGTCATTCATAGAATCATGGGATTTGTAGTTCAGCAACATCTGGAGGGCCAGAGTTTGGGGAAGCCTGCCTTAGACCTTTTTCCAGGCCTTTCTGCAAAAATTACAACATATCTGGAAGGTTAATCAAAACAGGTTTCTTTCCCCATAGCTCTTGCCCAATCCAAGTACCCCTTTCAAATTTTATAGTATAGATTAGAAATATTGTTCTTTTTTTTATTTTAGAATAGTTAATACCACTTTATCACACAGACCTATTGACTTTAGGATGTTCTTTTCAATTTTCAGGCCCTCAGTTGAAGTTAAGCAGGATCGTTGTGATGGATCGGACCTTGCGACAGCATGTTCCTAATGAGGGGAATTTCCCATGCAGTTTCCTGGGATAATTGGAGAAGAAATGGGAACCATAGCTTCCTGGGCCAGTATGGTAGAATGGCAATGACCGTCACACATTCCTTCCAGATTTTTCTGAGAAGTCTTGGGATAAGAGGGAAGGGAGGAAATATGTAACTCGGGTTGAAGTTACATTTCTGAAATAGTGCATCTTGCCCCTTCTCTCTTGGATCGAATCTCCTGGAGAAGATGGGAAGTTGCTTGTTTTTGTCATGAGGTCTATTATCAGCTTTCCCCATATTTCTTGGAATATCTTTGAGTCTAGTTTCCATTTTTCCGGGTCTATATAGTTCTTGCACTGATAGTTTACTACTTTGTTTTCTTTCACTGGAAGGGGGATAGCTGAGAGACACCTTCTAAATTTTGCTGAGCCCAGAAGATAATGTGTTTTGTTTCTTGCATTAACTTTTGCTTCCGCCTTGGTGATTATTGTATATCAAAGAGGTTATATTGTCCACTTGTAATTTAACCCATTTTTTCTACACCAAAGTTTTGAAATCAATCAAGGCTCGATATACTGCTCTTAATTCCAGCATGTTCAACTGTAATTTCCAGATGTTTAATGGCCAAAAAATAATAATCAGTAGATTGTATTAAAAAAATAAAAAAATCGTGCCAGCCTTTTGCTCCTGGCTTCAAGAAATCCTACAAAAACCTTTATTGTAAAAACCAAAGAGAAAAAAAAAGTTCCACTTCCCTATGTATTTTTAAACAAAGGGTATGCCCACCTGCCACATCAAGGAAGACCTCTTAGGTGGGTCCTAAACTAACCATTCACCTTGCTTCCTTGAGCTTCTGGCAAAGATATCTCTGAGACAGAAAGGGGTATTTATTTTATATACACCCCTACATGCTTATTAACCCTTAATAGGGAACACATGGGATGGGCAGCAGCATTGCAACCTGGCTGTGTGATACAAAAGTGAATACAAATACAAAAAAAACTAGTCCTGCACTCAAACTCCCAATACTCCTGGGCGGCAGCAACGACCATAGTACACATCAGCACAAATACATATAGTAGATGTGGAAAGAGCGCAGGTAATTTTTTCTCTTTGGTTTTTACTATATGGATTTGTGCTGATGTGTACTATAGTCGCTGCTGCCCAGAAGTAATGGGAGTTTGAGTGCAGAACTTGTTTCTTTGTATTTTTATTCACTAGGTCCTTTCCATTCCTTCCTTCTCTTAAAACAATGCCCTCTTCTATTCTGTAAAGTGCTGGAAGAACTTCTAAAACAGATCACTGAAGGTAAGAGGCACAAGAAAAAAAAAAAAAAAAAAGAGAATTGGATTTTTTAAATTTTTCTCCTACAAGAATGCTCTTTTCAGAGGACAGTTCAGATTACTTCCAATAGAAAACTGTGGGATGTGCAAGGAAGGAGAGTGCCTGATCTTTGTTATACTGTCCTGCCGAGAGTTGAATAGTCAGTCACACAGCCACTTGGACTATGCAAAATAATTTACGATGAGTAAAATTTAGTATTTCTAACATGAAATAAATTTATATAACACAGCAGCCATTAGGATGATACATAGTTTAATTCATTGCATTAAACTATAAGCAGAATAGCGAAAACATTAACCAAAGTAGGTTGAGTAATTATAGAGTACCCAAAAAGAACACAAACAAAGGGAAAATGTCAAGGTGCACACTATAGGAGCAAAACATGAACGGCTTCTCACTCGAAGGCTGATTGGAACATTTTTTGTCCTACTTGGATATAGATTTCCCTTTCTTCATCAGTCATGAAAGATACAAGTTCTGGGTTTTGACTGACCTCGCTGTAGGCATGTTGTTGGCCACCAACCAGGATTACTGGATCAATAGCCTCAGACTCCTCTTCTTGCTCAATGTTGGCACTCTGCTGAACCAGTGCTGGCTTTGAACGATTCTCTTCTTCAGAATCACTAGTGTCACTCCCTGAATCACTTTTAGAGAGTGAAGTAGCTGCAGGCCCAGTGGCAGATTTCATTTCATGAATTAATAAGGTTCGGATAACTTCATTATCCATATTGCTATCCTTCACATTGTCATTTTCATCTACCTTCACCGATTCATTGGGGGCTGCAAATAAAAGAAAACAAGTAATTATTTGGAATGAAAGGGGGTGAGTGGGAGGACAAACAAAAACATACACTCTGAGGCCGGAGCCAAATGTACACGTTGTGAACAAAACAAAATGTAAACAAAACCTGGCATTTGCGCTACATGTCTGTCCAACCGTAATTCACCTCTTTCATAGTAAATGCACCCACCCTTATTATATATCATTTTATTCAGGGGAAACAGGGCTTTCATTTAATATCAAATATTTAGCTATGAAACATAATTTAATATGAAAAAAATGGGAGAAAATACGATTTTTTTTATTTTTTTAGTTCTACATGACATTTTAACGGTCAGTGTCATAATACTGTTTGCTTTTACTGCAATAAAATACACATATTTGTATTCAGTAAAGTCTCACGTGTAAGACAGTACCCCCTATGTACAGGTTTTATGGCGTTTTGGGAAGTTACAGGGTCAAATATAGCACGTTACATTTGAAATTGAAATTCGCCAGATTGGTTACGTTGCCTTTGAGACTGTATAGTAGCCCGGGAATGAAATTTACACCCATAATGGCATACCATTTGCAATAGTAGACAACCCAAGGTATTGCAAATGGGGTATGTCCAGTCTTTTTTAGTAGCCATTTGGTCACAAACACTGGCCAAAGTTAGCGTTAGTATTTGTTTGTGTGTGAAAAATGCAAAAAACGCCAATTTTGGCCAGTGTTTGTGACTAAGTGGCTACTAAAAAAGACTGGACATACCCTGTTTGCAATACCTTGGGTTGTCTACTATTGTAAATGGTATGCCATCATAGGGGTAATTTTCATTCTTGGGCTACCATAGGGTCTCAAAGGCACCGTAACCAATCTGGCGAATTTTAATGTGAAAAAAATGAAACGCAAGCCTTATATTTGACGCTGTAACTTTTGAAAACACCATAAAACCTGTACATGAGGGGTACTGTTGTACTCGGGAGACTTCGCTGAACACAAATATTTGTGTTTCAAAACAGTAAAAAGTATCACAGCAATAATATTGTCCGTGTAATGCTGTTTGTGCGTGAAAAATGCAAAAAACTTCACTTTTACTGGCGATATCATCGTTGTAATACATTTTACTGTTTTGAAACACTAATATTTGTGTTCAGCGAAGTCTCCCGAGTAGAACAGTACCCCCCATGTACAGGTTTTATGGTGTCTCGGAAAGTTATAGGGTTAAATATAGTGCTAGCAAATTAAATTCCCTTTACTTTCGGCATGGGTTGTCAGGCAGGTCCTGCTAATTGTAATTAATTAAGATACCTAATTATGTAAAAATATTACATAAATATATATGTAGAATTAATATATATATACGTATGTGTATATATATGTATATATCTATATATTTTTAAAAATATTTTTATATATATATATATTTCGTTCCACGTGTATATATTAATTTCACAATACAGTTAGAACGAAATAACACACATCTCTATATTTTTTAATTATTTATTTTTAATTATTTTTTTAATTTTTTTACGTATTTACATTTTTATATATATATATATATATATATATATAACAATAATTATATATATATATTTAATCAGTATCAGTCTATGTGTAATTTGATTATATATATATATATATATATATATATATATATATATATATATATATATATATATATATATATATATATATATATATATATATATATATTTTAATAGTAAAATACACCTAGACGGTATATATTATTTTTTTTTTTTACACTATTTATTTTATTTTTATTTTCAGCCAGCAGGGGGGACCACCTGTCATTATAGGCAGTCCCCCTGCTGGCAATGCAGGAGGCAACTACCCCCGGCCATGTGATTGTGGGGTCCTCGCAAGGACCCCACTCTCACACGGCCAGGGGGGCTTCGTGGAGGACGGACGTGCCACGGGGGGGCTCCCTGGGAGTCCCCCCCACCGCGATCGCCGGCGTGGGATTGCCGGCGACCGGGTAAGTACCGAAAGACCGGAGGGCGTACTATTACAACCGGCGGCGTTTAGAGCCGCCTATAATAGGGCGTAATAGTACGCCCTCCGGTCTGAAGGGGTTAAAGGACCACTATAGGCACCCAGACCACTTCAGCTCAATGAAGTGGTCTGAGTGCCAGGTCCCTCTAGTTTTAACCCTGCAGCTGAAAACATAGCAGTTTCAGAGAAACAGCTATGTTTACTGTGACGGACCGCATGACACCCTGACTGTGTGACTCTGCCAATCGCTGTTTCCTAGCGGTCACCGAGTACCATAAGAACCGCACACCATAAGCTCCGTAGCCCCTTCGCTGCCACAGCTTGGCTGGGGTCTTGCCGTCCCTTCTCACCCTGGACCACCTCCTGGAGAGTATAGCAGTGTAGCTCTTACAAGAGCTAGTGATTATAGCCCAGGGGAATATCGTGATATAGCAATCCCCAGAGCAGACACAGCCGTTTCTCCCCAACACATGAGATGAGACTAATTTGAGGGTTGGCAATTTAACTCATTTAATGGTAGTCACAACTGGCCTTATATGCAAGTCCCCATGCAAGGGGTACTCCCACCCGGACCTGATGGAAGACTACAGTACAAAGTTACAGACCAATGACAAAGTTGTTCATGACACTCCCATACATAATCATACAATCCCTTTCCTCTGCCTGGGAGATAATTGAATCAAGTACTGTATTAACTCAATTATCTCAACACAAAAACACACATTTTTATAAAACCCCACAAATACCTTAAAACACACAAAACCACCACAAAATTTACATCCCCAGATAGCCCTGATCTGGGTGACAACATATACAAAAATCACCCCAATCAGTTCAGGGGTTCAGGAATTTCCTGGAAGTCTTATTTTTGACCGACCACACGCATGGTCCCATGCCCAAAACAGTTCCTGAGAATCACGGCTTGCAGTCGGTTTAGTTCGGTAGTTTGGAAAACGAACAAACTACCGAACAATAGTAGTCAATGTTCTTACCCTGGAGCTTGTTCCCCTCATTCAATTGGACTATTTCACCGAACAGTGCCCTTCTAAATTGTATAGAAGCGAACGCAGGTGATGATGGAAGTCCAGCGGTGTTCGGGAGTTTCTGTGCCCGATTTTATGTTCATGAGATTCATGCCCATACACCGCTGCCTGCATTCATGCAAACAAGATGGCCAGCACCTCGTGGTTGTCGATAGGAATTACGGCCACCCAGACGAACACCCAGAAAACTGCGGTGAGAACAGTTCCAAGGTGTTAACAAGCTCCCGGTTTGTCCTTGGTTCGTGTGTCTGTTCGGTTCCCGAACAGGATAGCAAAACGGCACGAACAAGGTCTTTTATGAACTTTTTGCATGGCCCATAGTTCTGAGGCAGGAGGCTGGCAAACCGGCGCTACCAAGAACCAGTGGCGAGGTTACTTTCGCCACATTTACATTGAGGGTTAATCCAGCCTCTAGTGGCTGTCTAGAACCCCAGACAGAAATGGGATACGGCTGTATAATCTATAGAGGGAACATATAAATGAAAAAACACAATAGTGTGATACAGTAAATACAGTGAATAGTGCGCTTAAATGGATGCACTCACAAGATGATGAAGATGAAAAAGCATTCATAGGGTGCCTCCCCAGATAGCATAGGGGGCTAGTGGTTTCCCCTATCCGATGTAAAGCGACCAATGGAACACGGGACTCCAGGTAAGTAATAGTAGAAAAGCAATACTTTTATTTTCTTAAAAGGTGAACAAGCACCATAAGAATAAAGGTTTAAAAGTGCAGCAATAGGTCCAACGCGTTTCGTTCAAGACTAGAACTTCATCAGGGACCGCACAGTAAAAAAATCACAGACAATATCATAGATTGTAAAATAACATCCTACTTTCCCCTTAACAAAATCTCTATATATAGGGCTAGTCCCAAAGTCCCATTGGTCCATAGTGTAGGAGTATCCAGTAGCCAGCCAATCATCTATCCAGGGGTATTGTCCTCCAGCTGATAGTGTTTGGGTAGTTTAAAAAGGGCGCGTTCAATGTAAAAGCCGAAACCGGAAGTGGATGTCTGCCTTCACTTCCGCGTACCATTTGCGTTCCATATGCGTTCCAAACACGCTCCAAATGCGTTCCAAATACATTTACTGCTCTTTTTCAACTAGAACAGCGAGGAGCCATCAATATAAGTGATCATCAAAAGGACAAAGCCCAAAAATCATTAATAGGTTGCCACACGGACTATGTAGTATACTTACTGCAGTGTCCGTGTGGCAAACAGTATGTGGGACGCACGAAACGTATCCTGAAAGTCAGGATCTTGGAACACCTAAATAATATACGTAAAGGACTGGTTACTCATTCAGTCTCTGCCCATTGCAGTAATTGTCCATCCTTCTCCTTTAGAGATTTCAAGTGTATGGGTATCGAACATGTCCTTCCCTACTGGCGGGGAGGTGATAGGATTAAAAAGTTATCCCAAAGGGAAACCTTTTGGATACACAAACTAAAGACCCTTGAACCTAGGGGCCTGAATATTGGGATCGATCTGGTGTGTTTCTTGGACTGATTTTTTGGTTATTCTTCTCCTTTATGTAAATTATTCCATAAGTATCTTTGGGAATATGAGGAGCTCTGGCAGTCTAAATATAGGGAAAAAGAAGTGTCTTTAATCAATACAATTCATAATTTATATAATAAAAAAAAAAAAAAAAATCTTTATATTATATAGTTAGGTGTACCTTGCAGGTTATATGGTTTAAAATGATTATTATTGATATTGAGGGAACTTTTTTTAGGAATATATTATTTGTGTTCTTATTTTTTGAATAATGAGATGTTTGTCACTTTAAATAGACATACATGGCACTATTTAATGGTGTATGATATTGTCATATATATAATATGTGGGGAAGTTCCATATGAACTATCTTAACATGGTTGTTGTATATTACATGCACTAATTCACTTTTCTTCTTTTAAAGATTAATTACATTTAATGCATTTAACACTTTTGGGCTTTGTCCTTTTGATGATCACTTATATTGATGGCTCCTCGCTGTTCTAGTTGAAAAAGAGCAGTAAATGTATTTGGAACGCATTTGGAGCGTGTTTGGAACGCATATGGAACGCAAATGGAACGCGGAAGTGAAGGCAGACATCCACTTCCGGTTTCGGCTTTTACATTGAACGCGCCCTTTTTAAACTACCCAAACACTATCAGCTGGAGGACAATACCCCTGGATAGATGATTGGCTGGCTACTGGATACTCCTACACTATGGACCAATGGGACTTTGGGACTAGCCCTATATATAGAGATTTTGTTAAGGGGAAAGTAGGATGTTATTTTACAATCTATGATATTGTCTGTGATTTTTTTACTGTGCGGTCCCTGATGAAGTTCTAGTCTTGAACGAAACGCGTTGGACCTATTGCTGCACTTTTAAACCTTTATTCTTATGGTGCTTGTTCACCTTTTAAGAAAATAAAAGTATTGCTTTTCTACTATTACTTACCTGGAGTCCCGTGTTCCATTGGTCGCTTTACATCGGATAGGGGAAACCACTAGCCCCCTATGCTATCTGGGGAGGCACCCTATGAATGCTTTTTCATCTTCATCATCTTGTGAGTGCATCCATTTAAGCGCACTATTCACTGTATTTACTGTATCACACTATTGTGTTTTTTCCTTTATATGTTCCCTCTATAGATTATACAGCCGTATCCCATTCCTGTCTGGGGTTCTATGCATATGTTAAGATCGTTTGTTGTGGATAACGATCCTGGGAGGCTGCATATTGATTGAAGTTAAGTAATTTATTTAATTAGAACACTTATCTAAAGGTGTTCGTTTGTTTGTTTTCTGTTTTTGTCTTATCCACTATTTTTTTGGGTGCACATATTTGCTATTGATTGTATTGATTATGTCTACAAATGTGAGCTTTTTGTCCAACTTACAGAATAGCCGTAGGAGAAGGTTTGAGGCTATGTTTCAAGAGTGGGACAAGCCACAACCTCTTAAAGGGCTAGATGAGTTTTTTAAGAAAAAAAGAGAGGTTATTAACTGCTGAAACAAAAAAATGGTGGGAGATAGCCTATTTGGAAAATTATCTCAAGGAGGGCTTAATCCCACGTGGTCTCAGAATAGATAAAACACCGGCATTCGGATTGGAGGATGATCTCTTCTTACAAGAATGGGATGAAATCCTTACTAATTGCTCTTTTCAGCTTATACAACTTATAATTAGACACTCTAAAGAATCACAGAGTAAATTGGAAGCTGAGTTAATTGAACTTGACTCCAATCCTCCCATTAATACAGAGGGAAGGGATTTTAAGGAGAGGGATGAAATTCTACAAACAAATATTAAAAAACTTGATGAGAATATTGCTGAAACAAAGAATAGGAAGTATAGCAGGGATAAAGAGGACAAATTAACTAATAGTTTTTCCACTCTTAATAAATTAATAAGAAAAAAATCTCGCTATGTTCCTTTTAAGAAAATGATTCCAAGAACACCGAATAGAACAAGGAGTAACTCAAGATCTAGAATTAACTATAGGGCTAATTTTGCACCTAAGGATGGTAGATCTACTTACCACCCTAGAACTTGGAATAGACAGAGACCTACCCCCCCTAAAAAACCTACGCCAGATAGGGAGGGGAATGTAAGATCCCGTACTCAGACCACATATAATCAAACGGATACGTTTAGGGCTCCTACACAATTTAATGAACAGGAGATAAATTTTCAAGGGAGACACAGGGGCCCGAAAGAAAAATTCATTACCAACTATTTTCGTCCGAGAACCGATACTTCCCAACAGGTTCACCCCTTTATACCAAGATTCACCACACAAGAGGGTGAGAACAGAGGACTAGTTCAGAGTCCTAGTCCTACTACCCTTACCAATGAGGAGGAAAGGAGTAGAGGCATTTTTAATTTAACTGGAATTCCACTTACATCTGAGGAGATAGAGCTACTCTCGAAAGGGATGAAATTTGCCCCTAATAAAAAGGCGAATGACTTTGACCTTTATATAGATCTTAAAAAGTTTATACGCTCTCTAACCATAAAAAGACATTTCCTCCTACATCCATCTACCACTGAGAGGGAAATAGATACTGTATCTGAAAGGGAAGACTATAGATTTCAACCTAAATCTCATTTTTTTCCGGTTCAAAGTAAGGGCCCCTTCTTAGAAACTTTTGAACATATGGTTGATCAGGCTTTCCAATCTATTGCTAAAAAGAGAAAAAGTGGATCATGCCCCTTTAATCTAACAAAAAGGGAAGAAGCGACTTTAAAACATCTTATGGAAAGAGAGGACCTGGTGATCAGGGAGGCTGATAAGGGAGGAGGTATTGTGTTGATGACTATGTCTTATTATTTGAAGGAATCCCTTAATATTTTAGGGGATAAAAAAACTTATATCACTCTGCAGAATAACCCTATGCCATTGTACAATTTAGAACTAAAAGAAATTTTGACTACGGCTAGAGACAATGGAATCATATCTTTAAAAAACTTTGATTTCTTATTTCAAAAAAGTCCAGTGATTCCGATTTTTTATTTCCTCCCAAAAACTCATAAACGCCTCCCTGATCCACCAGGTCGCCCTATTATCAGTGGAGTTAACTCGCTCACTGCTAATCTGTCCGCGTATGTGGACTCTTTCCTTCAAAAGTACGCCCAAGGGGCGCCCTCCTTTATACGGGATACCAAGTCTTTTTTACAAGAACTGGACAGCATTGAGTGGAACCCTGAATACAGTTGGGCCACGCTAGACGTGACCTCTCTGTATACGGTAATTAGTCATTGTTTAGGATTGGAGTCTCTTGATTACTATATGTCCCAAGATCAGGACCTATCTCAAGGTCAAAAGGAATTTATATTGACCTCAGTACAATTTATTTTGGAACATAATTTTTTCTTTTTTAATGATCAGTATTATCTACAGATCACAGGGACCGCCATGGGCACCAGGTTCGCCCCCAGTTATGCCAACACCTACATGCGTAGATGGGAGGAATTATTCGTGTGGTCGCAGCATGACTGGAGGGAGAACTTGGTGCTCTGGCGGCGCTATATCGATGACGTGATCATCATTTGGAAGGGGTCCTCCAATAGTTTTTCTGATTATGTTCAATATTTAAATTCCAACTTATACAATCTTGTCTTCACCCCCGAGTGGAATAAACATGAGATCCATTTTTTGGATCTTGATATTTTTTGTGATCAGGGTCAAATTCAAACTAAATGTTTTTTTAAACCAACAGATGGGAATGGCTTTGTACACCAACAAAGCTGTCACCATAAGCCTTGGCTTAGGGGCATAGCACGGAGTCAATTTACCAGATTGAGACGCAATTGTTCTCGCCCTCAAGACTTCCAGACTCAATCTTCCCATATAAAAAATAAATTATGTGCAAGGGGCTACAATAAGAATACGTTAGAAAAAGAAATTCGATCAATTGGTCTCCTTGAACGGAACAAACTCCTGGAGGATAAACCTCCTAATACTGTTGGGAATAAGAATTTTAAATCAGCCTTTGTCACCCAATATAATACGGATCATTTTAAGATCAAAAGGAGCCTAAGTGATTTTTGGCCCATATTACAACAGGATCCCATTTTGGGTAATTCTTTGTCTGAACGCCCGATGGTGATATTTAAGAAAAATAAGAACTTTAAAAATATGCTAGCCCCTAGCTATGCTATTAAAATGAATAGTTCTAATGTATCCCCTGAATCGGGTTGTTTTAGGGGATGTAATGTGTGCAAAGCATGTACCACCGCCTCTATGGGGAGAACTAAGGAATTTATTAGCCATATCACGGGGGAGACTTTCAAGATTAAATCATTAATAGGTTGCCACACGGACTATGTAGTATACTTACTGCAGTGTCCGTGTGGCAAACAGTATGTGGGACGCACGAAACGTATCCTGAAAGTCAGGATCTTGGAACACCTAAATAATATACGTAAAGGACTGGTTACTCATTCAGTCTCTGCCCATTGCAGTAATTGTCCATCCTTCTCCTTTAGAGATTTCAAGTGTATGGGTATCGAACATGTCCTTCCCTACTGGCGGGGAGGTGATAGGATTAAAAAGTTATCCCAAAGGGAAACCTTTTGGATACACAAACTAAAGACCCTTGAACCTAGGGGCCTGAATATTGGGATCGATCTGGTGTGTTTCTTGGACTGATTTTTTGGTTATTCTTCTCCTTTATGTAAATTATTCCATAAGTATCTTTGGGAATATGAGGAGCTCTGGCAGTCTAAATATAGGGAAAAAGAAGTGTCTTTAATCAATACAATTCATAATTTATATAATAAAAAAAAAAAAAAAAATATATATATACTTATATTATATAGTTAGGTGTACCTTGCAGGTTATATGGTTTAAAATGATTATTATTGATATTGAGGGAACTTTTTTTAGGAATATATTATTTGTGTTCTTATTTTTTGAATAATGAGATGTTTGTCACTTTAAATAGACATACATGGCACTATTTAATGGTGTATGATATTGTCATATATATAATATGTGGGGAAGTTCCATATGAACTATCTTAACATGGTTGTTGTATATTACATGCACTAATTCACTTTTCTTCTTTTAAAGATTAATTACATTTAATGCATTTAACACTTTTGGGCTTTGTCCTTTTGATGATCACTTATATTGATGGCTCCTCGCTGTTCTAGTTGAAAAAGAGCAGTAAATGTATTTGGAACGCATTTGGAGCGTGTTTGGAACGCATATGGAACGCAAATGGAACGCGGAAGTGAAGGCAGACATCCACTTCCGGTTTCGGCTTTTACATTGAACGCGCCCTTTTTAAACTACCCAAACACTATCAGCTGGAGGACAATACCCCTGGATAGATGATTGGCTGGCTACTGGATACTCCTACACTATGGACCAATGGGACTTTGGGACTAGCCCTATATATAGAGATTTTGTTAAGGGGAAAGTAGGATGTTATTTTACAATCTATGATATTGTCTGTGATTTTTTTACTGTGCGGTCCCTGATGAAGTTCTAGTCTTGAACGAAACGCGTTGGACCTATTGCTGCACTTTTAAACCTTTATTCTTATGGTGCTTGTTCACCTTTTAAGAAAATAAAAGTATTGCTTTTCTACTATTACTTACCTGGAGTCCCGTGTTCCATTGGTCGCTTTACATCGGATAGGGGAAACCACTAGCCCCCTATGCTATCTGGGGAGGCACCCTATGAATGCTTTTTCATCTTCATCATCTTGTGAGTGCATCCATTTAAGCGCACTATTCACTGTATTTACTGTATCACACTATTGTGTTTTTTCCTTTATATGTTCCCTCTATAGATTATACAGCCGTATCCCATTCCTGTCTGGGGTTCTATGCATATGTTAAGATCGTTTGTTGTGGATAACGATCCTGGGAGGCTGCATATTGATTGAAGTTAAGTAATTTATTTAATTAGAACACTTATCTAAAGGTGTTCGTTTGTTTGTTTTCTAGTGGCTGTCTCCCTGACATCCACTAGAGGCACTTCCGTGAGTCTCAGTGTGAAAAATCACACGGAGATGATGCTGAATGTCCATAGGAAAGCATTGAGTAATGCTTTCCTATAGGTGGTTTGAATGCACGCGCGGCTCTTGCCACGCATGCGCATTCAGAACGGACTTCAGCAGGGGGAAGAGAGGTTACCAGTGTTGAGGGAGCTCGGCGCTGGATTAAGGTAAGTGGCTGAAGGGGTTTTACCCCCTTCAGCCCAGCGGAAGTGGGGCCCTGAGCAAGGGGTGGGGGGGACCTAATAACCCTATAGTGCCAGGAAAACGAGTTTGTTTTCCTGGCACTATAGTGCTCCTTTATTGCAGTTACTTCACCTGAAAACATTTCAAAATAAAATACACAAGTGGGTAGCACAATGCATAGTTTCAAAACCTTCAAGTCTACTTAAAGATACTATTTCAGATGAATATAAAAAGTACACTAATATTGGTCAATGCTAGCCTCATTGACATGGGATATAAACATGTGATCTGCAAAATATTGGTTAAAACAGCCCCAAGAGGATGTTCTAAAATTGTATGCATTACTAAGGCTTAATGGAGTACCTGGGTTTACAGGAGCTGGGTGCTCATGCCAAGACTCACTCGTGCTTGCTCTTAGATAGAGAATTTTATTTATTAAACAAAATGGGGGAACTAGAGGCAATAGCATACACTAAGCAATACAACATTATAGGCATAATGGAAACATGGTGGATTGAGACACCTAAATTGGACAGTTACCTTAAAAGCTTACACAATATTAAGGAATTATATAATATTCAGGAAAGGTGATGGGGTATGCTTGTATGTCAATTATGAATTAAAGACATTAAGCAGGTGGAATGTGATGAAAAAAAATGGTAGATATCATGGGTAGATATCTGCTTGGGACAAAAGAAGGGAAGTCATTTATTGGTTGGGATATGTTATAAACCACCTAATGTTAATATTAATGAGGAAGAACAGCTTTCAAAGCAAATTGGGAAAGCTACACATCTGGGTAATGCATTAATTATTGGAGATTTTAATTACCCGGACATAATTTGGGATAGGGGGACTAGTAGTTCAGTAAAGGGAATCAAGCTTTTGAACTTGTTAAATGACACCTTTATGTCACAACTTGTATAAGCACCAACGCAAAAGAAAAAAACAACACTGAGTATAAATGAAATGTCTTCAAACACATATTAGAAAGGGTAATTACATATATATCATATAGATAGATCTATATAAAGGGTCTATATGTGATTTTGAAAAAGACCCTTAAAGGGTCAAAACGGTGATTATTTTGTACACAGAACTGATTAATTATTGATTGAATATTTTCAATGAATACACCAGTCACCTTCAACCTAAGACCTGAGAGTGCATCCTATTTTTCCTTTTATGCTACATATTTCAACGTGGGACATTTGCACCCAGGCAAGTAGTACTTTATATCTATATATTAGTGGAGTGCCAGCAGACTTCTATTGGAGAACGAGAACACACACACACACCGAACCTCATCACGGGTTCTTGGAGGGGCCTGCTGGCCAGCCTCTTGCCTCAGGACTATGGCCCCTGCAATAGACCTTGGCTAATATACTTTAAAAAGGCTCTGTTTGTGCAATTGGGATTTTGTCTCAGCCGCACAAACTAGAGATCACCCGGGATCTTGTTAAACCCTATTAACAGCTATTAACGATTCTAACCGCAGTGTTCTAATTATCTGTTTGGGTGGCCGCTGTTCGCATGAACTACCACAAGGTGGTGGCCATCTTGTTCGCATTAACGAGGACAGCGGTGTTTGGTCGTCGAGTTCCTGGAATTAAAATCGGACATGGAAACTCACGAACACCGCTGCACTTCCATCATCGCCTGCATTTGGTCCTATACAACTTAGAAGAGCACTGTTCGGTGGAATTGTTAGTCTGGATGAGGAGAACAAGCTCCAGGGTAAGACTATTGACTATGTTCAGTAGTTTGTTCGGTTTTTAAACTACCGAACTAGACCGACTGCAAGCCCTGATTCTCTGGAACGGTTTTTGGCAGGAGCCTCATGTGTGGTCGGTCAAATTAGGACTTCCATGGAAATCCCGAAAGACTGAACCGATCTGGATGATTTTTGGATATGTTGGTCCCCACAGATCAGGGCATGTGACTTTTGTGGGGTTTCCATGTGTTTTAGGGGTACTTTTGGGGTATTGTAAAATGTGTGTAAAATGTGTGTGTTCTGTGCCTGGAGATAATGGAGTTTAGTACAGTTCCTGACTCAATTATCTCCTAGACACAGAGGAGGGATGTTTTGTGTGGGAGTGTCCTGGACCTGAGAGCCAATGTAATCATGTGTATGTTTTTGCTGTATTCTAATCTCAGGTCCAGTGGGTAATGCCCCTGGAATCTGTAACCGAAAATCCCTTGCTTTGGGACCTGCATAAAAGGCCAGTTGTGGCTGCCATTAAACAGAACGCTTTACTCCTTCATGAAGTCTAGGCTCATGTTTGGGAGATTGGACAGCTATATTCAGTCTAGAGATTGCTATAGTATCATTATACTTCCTTGGATTACAACACTTGCTTTGCTCCCTGGACTAGGAGAGGTCTACCCACTGAAAGCTGGATCCTGGTCTTGGGTACAGGGTGGGTGGAGGACAATGAGACCCATTCCAAGCTGCGGCGGTTTGTGGGGTTTACGGTGGTTATGCTACTCAAGGATTACTAGGTTGGGGTGCCGGGTGGTCCGTCACAAATTCACACACACACATATATATATATATATATATATATATATATATATATATATATATATATACACACACACACACACACACACACACACACACACATACACATACATGGCCTGAAGTTGTGGGAGGGGCTATAGACCTATAAAAGGGACTCCCCCCTTTCCCTACTTACCTTTGTTGGTCAGATGAATAGACTGTTCAAGGTCAGCATTTGCATGAGATCCACTTCCAGGTCATACAAGACGCCATTTTGGTTTCACCTCTGCTCCATGAGGTCTCCTACTCAAAGCTGTGTCCAGGAATCCTGCAGCAGGGCTTTCAGTTAATCCAGTGGCTCTCTCTCCGGTCAGCATCGCATTTGGTGTCTCAGGGACTCTCAAACCGTAAGTTGACCCACCTGTCAGCACAGCACGGGTCCTCACTTTACGGTTTCCTTTCTTTTTGCACGGTTATTATTTCGTTACCTTATACTCACCTAGCTGCTCATGTAAAAATCTGTTTTGGTTAAAATCTGTTCGGTTAAAACTACAAACGAAATACAATTTTTTCGCCTACACACTGACCCCTACTGGTCTTTTGGTGTACTACAGGCTTCTTAGACATTCTTGCATTTCATGCACAAACCAACGAACCACTGCATTTTCGCCTAGACACTGACCCCTACCGGTCATTCGGTGTACTACCGTCATCTCAGACATTCTTGCATTTCATGTACAAACCAACGAACCACTGCATTTTCACCTACACACTGACCCCTACCAGTCAGTGTACTACAGGCTTCTCAGACATTATTGCATTTCATGTACAAACAAACTAACTACAGCATTTTCGCTTTTATACTGACTTCTGTCAAACTGTATACTACAGGCTTTTCAGACATATGGTTATTCCCCTCATAACATTCCCACTATAATTATAATTACACAATAACACTTCCTTACAACTCATGCTTGCTATGCTATAATCATTCCTGCCTACATAGGCATTTAGTTACATTTGCTGACAATACGCATACATTTACCCAAGAATGCACATACTAAAAGCACTAGAGTCTAATACGGAATATTTGCATATTTGCACGCTTAAAATAGAAGTCCTTCCCATTAAGTATTTTCACATATTAGGTTACTCAGCTGCCAGTCATGGTTCACTACACTCATGTTTCGGGGTACCGTAGTATTCCATATCACACATGATATAACACTCCCAACAGGTTAATTTCCTTCAAACAGGGGCATTACAAGCATACAATAAACATTGGGACGGAGCACTTTGCTCTATTAAACTTGCATAAAACACATAAAGTTATACGCTTTTAAATGTCTATATTCAATTTTCATACATTGTTTTACCCGTCCGGGACACAGGTATTAATAACCCTTATGACCAGTAAGGGTATCTAATCATACTGTTACGGGCAAATGCAAATATTACAAGTTTTAGAATGAAATGTTGTATTTCTTAAACTGTGTACTTTGTCTTTAAGAGATATTGCAAACTGACAAGGTGTTAGAAATGGAACATATTGTTTTTCATAACTGTTTCTTTAAGCAATAACCTCAGTGCATAATATGTTTGCGCCATTTTGTCCCAGACGAATTACAATAACAATAATGCATAAACAAGCTTCAAGGCTATACTACGACTCTTGCAGTACACAATATACTGTGGTAACCCCAAGTTAATGGAACTTCCCCAAATCCGGGAATCTCCCACGACTGTACACTTACGACTTAGTATAAACAACAGATAACCTATTCAGACTTTAAGATGCCATCTTGAACTAAGTCAGGAAAATTTCCATGACGTATACACCCTTTAGTTATGGCCTTGTATGTTTGCCAAATTAAGGGAGGACCTAAATTGAATAAAGTAAAAGAAGTGTTACTTTTTCATATTTGAACTACAGTAACCTAAAATGGAGACACCTAAGGTATAAATAGGTGTACTTTTAAATGTTAAGAAACAGAGGAGAGACTTGGAGACAGACGCTGCTCCATCTTAAAATGACAGAGAGGCTGACATGATGACATGTTCAGAAGGGTATGTTAACCTATTAATGATATTTGCAAGCATGTAATTTAATCTTATAAACTCTGCTATAATGGATTTTATATTTTTATATAATAAATATCCAAAAGACAATCTTGCTTCCAAGACAATCCTTATTTTATATTGTATTCTCAATTATTTATATATGTTAAATAGAGGATCTCTTACACTATATAAAATTATGGCTAAGATATCTGTATGGTTAGCCCTACTAAGTTCTATGCTTTAAGACATTATAGTGGTAAATAAGGGAACCACACACGGTTATAATACTACCAGGTACATACACCTGCTCATGTCGTATATACATACATTTTCTGTTTCCCCCTGGGTATATCCTTAGCGTACTGGCAATTAGGGACTATAGGTTTCCAATAGGTATTCTCCTTTCTTGGCATCTATGCCTGTCGTATAGTGGTCCCGCGAGGCCAACACCCCGCCTCAACGCTCTGAGGCAAACACCCATCGGGCCACTCGTGAGCTAGCCGCCTCGCATGGTATATAGAGAGGGCCTCACCTGTCACTCCCTTCCCCTTTTTTCTGGTTACAGTCACAGAGAGGCCAACATCCTGCCACTATATTTGGTGGCCACAAAAATCCCCTTGCGCCATTGCATAGATAGAGCCTCTCAAGCCACTTGGCAACTAGCAGGGCCTCAACTGTCACCAAACAAAGGATTGTTTCGCCATGCGGCTTTAGCTAGCAAGCCAGTACTAGCCATTATTATATGAACCCATAGTGTGCTATCTTCAGGTTTTAAGTATGTATCAAGCAGGTGGTAAGGATTTCTCTCTACTGAACATTCCAGCTAGAGTCAACACACTTTCACTTGGAGTCAGACATATCAGAGGAATCATATATAAAAGATGATTATAATGAATGTGAAAGTGACTGATAAAAATAGCAAAAACGGGGGTGGAGCCTGACAGTCAATGGAGCCAGACGTGTAAACCCTGAGCTCTCTCCCCCCTGGGAATAGAATCCGCATCCATCCGCACTTCTACCTCAAAACCCACACACCCCACTACCTTCAGACACTCAACTACCTCCCAGCCTCTACACCTGATAAGAGGCAACCAAAAAAAATAAATAAAAAAAGACTCTACACCCTCGGTAGCCACGATGTTCCGCGCAAAAGACCAGCAGCCGCCATCTTCAGCACAAGGCCGAGAAGACTCGGGCTCTGAATCTGAATATCGCAGGATGCATACAAACCAAGATGCCCCCCTAACGAAAAGAGACATCCGCACACTTAAAGAAGCCACAAGCGACACTAAGGCCTATACGGCCGCAGAGCTAGAAAAACAGCTCACAGGCCTACGCTCCGATCTGGACGCACTCGCCACGAGGACAACCCAAACTGAAACTCACCTCACAGAACTTTCTGAGCGATCACAGTTTCACTACCATGAACTTACCACAGGTCACAAAAAAAAAAAAAAATAATCAGGTATCTGGAGGACGGTATGGAAGACCTCAGTAACGGATCCCGCCGGAACAATATCCGGCTTAGAGGCCTCCCTGAATACATCACAGCAGGCACCCTGCACACCACCATATGGGACATGTTTAAAGCCATGCTACCAGAGACCTCAAACTATGAGCTCACCACTGAAAGGTCCCATAGAACGCTGCGGCCCTCTGTGCTCTACCCTACAGCGCCAAGGGACGTAGTTCTAAAGATGATGAACTTCGCGACCAAAGAACGTCTCATGGGCATAGCCAGAGCCCACCCTCCCCTAGTTCAAGGACGCAAAGTTCAATTCTTCCAGGACCTGGCACCGTCGACACTACGGAAGCGCAGTGAACTCAAACCGCTCACCACGGCCCTGACCCAGCACGGATGGAGATACATGTGGGGGCATCCCTTCAAATTAAATCGCACGCAAAGAAAACCGATCCTACACCTTGCTCCAAGTCACCGACATGGACTTTGCCAACGCCTTAGGATTAAAGCTACCAGCGGAGACAACCCCTGCCGACCCAGAACAACAACCAACAGGACAGGCGCGACGAGAAACCTGAGGGACTACCTAAACCCACGGACCTAACCCATGGAACGATAGTTCCACAGTATTGGTAACCTCAGTTCTCCCACACGATGGGCCCGAAAAGGCCCGCTCACCCCCTCACCCTGAGACCTACTCAGGGGCACACCAGGGCCCGCCTGTGTGGGACCCTCTTACCCCATTTGGCGTTAGCTCTGGCGGGCCCCCCCGATTACACCACCCAACTACCACCTACTTAAGGCACCGGGCACTGGGGCAGCGGGGTCCCTGAAACGGGACGGAACGCAATCCTACACCCTGCAAAAGCCCACCCAGAGTACCCACGGAGCCTACCACATCCCCGGTAAATAAGGACTCCGCATCATAACCCACAATTGGAACCCCAGCCATATAGACACATCACACTTAACAAATCCCCTCCCCCCCCAAAAAGGTTTCATTGCATGACAAATTTTATACTTAAAGAGGTTTACTGATGTTTTGACTGAAAAATAATTGCATGTTTCTGTTCACAAGTTTTATTATGCTCGGCTCTCCCTAAGGGCAAAATATGGACGCCTCCACGGGCGGGCAGGGAACCCAGAGAGACACTGAAAGGAGACGGCGGGATGGGTATGGGGGCGGGATGGGGCAAAGGAAAGGGAAGATAAGAAAGACAATCAACCAAAGCTCCTCCCCCTACGCTTAGCGACACACTCACTACCCAAATCACAGACCTCTGCCCGATGACCATACCACCACTGGCCCGCCCCCCAACATACAGAAGCCCGACAGACCACAGACAATAGTACTGAGGCCACAAACCCCAAGATCCCTCAAGGCCCAAAACTGTAAGGGCACCATCAATTACATCCCGCCCTCCAACACGCAGGAGACAGACGCAAACCGCATAGGCCCACCCCCATATGCCCCAGGGGGGCCACCGATACTTCACACCCTGCCGGGGCGGAGCGACATAATCAAGCCCCACACAGGACGCTTACCTTGGACTGCTAGCACAGAAGAGACCCATAGCTGGGGCAGGAAATAATAAAGTGGCCCCTTAATACCACTGACTCAAGCCAAGCACCTCAGCAGGTCCCCTCCCAGCCGGGGGTCACGGGGGACGGGGGCTCCACTACGCTTAACAAAGCCTGCATATCATAAATGCTACACTTGTATTAATGTTTAGCCTGTTATGTAAATTGTTATTCCTGTTGAGGTCTTGGTTACTCGCAGCAGATCAACTCAGGGAGATGGGAGAAATCGACCTCTGGAGACCGGGTCAACACATGCACAGGCCTACTAACCAGGCTCCCACGAGAACGACATCTGCACCCGAATTGCACACCTCAATCCACCATACGCCTCACCATGCTACACAAAGGTAAAACAGAACAACCCTCCCAATCCCGCAAAACCTAACACATACATAGCAAACTCTCCTTACATGGAGGCCCTACTAACCAATACCAGACATATCCCCAACCATCACAGCACCAAGAGCACCAAAATACTAATGAGCCAGGACACGCCAAGTACCCCAACAGCCTCACCGCCCAGGCCCACCACCACCACCCAAAGGGCATGGAGGCCGGCTACAACCGCAATAACATACAACAGCAAAACAACCACAGAGACACTCACCCACACATCCCACGCCCTAGCTACTACAAAACCAGTCTGATCACCAGGCCTCACCCTCACTACCTGCCTAGAAGGCCCATTCGGGCACACAAAACCTACGTAACCAGACACCCCTCGCTTAACCACAACTCAACCCCCCTCCACACACCCCAACCAAGGGATCCCCTTTGACTTTCACCCCCAGAGGTATAAACACTATAACTACAAAAGAAGCTACAACAACCGAGGATTGCACAACACCCCCAGGGCCCACTTCCCCCAACGACTGTACAAGAACACCACACATACCCCACTACTCACAATTATACTAACTAGCAGCCTTCTGGCACAACCATACATATCACATTTCTCTCCGCAAACCTAAATCCAACTATTCTCCGCCCATGCAACACCTGGCAAACTCTAGGTAAGACCAGGGATACCCCTACAACCCAAACACCCCTGCTCCTCTCTATTTTCTTTGTCTCCAACCTCCCCCCCCCACTCCCTACCCAAGCAACCCCCCCTCCCTCAGAGGCCACCTCCAAACCAGCTCCCCCACATCACTAAAAATCTATTCCCCCAGACTCCTGCCTTCACGCATCACACCTCACAATGGCCCAGACAAACACTCCAACAGCCATTAAAAAGACCCCAGTGCCCATGACTTAACACACCCTCCAAAACCAGCACCCTAACATGTCTATTGATTAATTGCAAAAGTCTGAACAACCCTTCTAAACGACACCAATTTTTACGCTGGGCCAACAGATCACAAGCAGATATACTCCTCATCCAAGAAACCCACTTCGCCCAAAAGAAACCACTCCCTCTCCTGAGCCGACACTACAACAAATACTACACAGCAAACTCCCCAACAGGCAAACAAAATGGAGTGGCGATTATGCTTCGAAAATCATGCCCCCTACACATCACACAAACACACGTAGACCCGCAGGGAAGATATCTAACAATAGCGGGATGCATAGGGCCTCAAAAATACGCGTTCACATCTATATACACACCTAGTCACCCGAACAAACCGTTTTGGCACACCATGCAGGCCCACCTAAAACTTTTCCCTTCACACCACCTAATTGTAGGTGGCGACTTCAACGCCACAATGCATCCAACCCAAGATAGACACCGCAAAGGACCACCCACACGCAACCAACCACCGACAGTCAAAGCAGATAAACTACTACTCGCCTTCACAAATGACTCCAATTTACTAGACATCTGGAGAGTCCAACACCCCGCAACAAAAGATTATACTTTTTACTCGCATCCTCACCACTCCCACTCCAGAATAGACATGTTCCTCATTTCCCCTTCCCTCACAGAATACATCAAAACTTCGAACATAGGCTCCATAACGTGGTCAGACCACGCAGATATCACCCTAAAAATAAACCTACCAAACATAGCGCGACCTTGGACATGGCGACTGAACCCCACACTGCTGCACAACCCGGTCAACGTAGAAACCGTCCAAAACGCGATATCTGAATATTTCACGATAAACGCACCATCTGTACAATCCGAAAGGATACTATGGGCAGCACACAAAACGGTGCTCATAAACCTTGCCTTGAACCAAAAAAAAAAAAAAAAAAAAAACAACGAACATATACTCAAACGCCTAAGAACACTAGAGATCCAATTTAAAGAAAGCTCAACCCCAAATATAATAACACAAATCATGGCTCGCCAAACAGAACTAAAAGAATTCATGGCGCAAGACGCAATTAAGGCCCTCCAATGGACCAGACAGCTTTTTTATGAAAAATCTAACAAAGCAGACACACTACTAGCTCGCAGATTACGCCAACGCACCGCACACAAACACATCGACAAAATCGCAGCCCCGGACGGACAAATAAAAGACCTACCGGACCAGATAGCGGGAGTCTTCCAATCATACTTCGCGGACCTCTATGATCACAACAGACAAGCACTCCTAGAACCGAACGCCCTCAGAGATCTGACGAACTGATACTTGTCCTCCACCACACTACCAGCCCTCAATCAATCAGCAGCAGACCAAATAGCTGCCCCAATCACCAAAGAGGAAGTGGCAAAAGCCATCAAGAACCACAAACCAAACAAATGCCCAGGCCCAGACGGATACCTTGGACTATACTACAAATCATTCACGAACACACTCACTCCACACCTATGCAAATTGTTCAACTCAATACTAACCGGGGACCCACTGCTGACAGACATGCTACAAGCAAATATCTGCCTTCTCCCAAAGCCACATAAAACACTCCTAGACCCTGGCCACTACCGCCCCATCTCACCACTAAATGTGGACATCAAATTGCTTACAAAAATTCTGGCCAATCGCTTAAACCCTTAAACTAATCCACCCAGATCACGTAGGCTTCAGCCCCAACAGACAGGCCTGCGACAATAATCAGACGCACCTACCTTATATGGTATGCAACACATAAAAAGATCCCCACCCTGATATTGTCGCTCGATGCAGAAAAAGCATTCGATCGCCTGCTCTGGCCATTTCTATTGGCAACACTCCACAAATTTAAATTCCCCCAACCCTTCTTAAATGCTCTACAGACACTTTACACTTCCCCCACAGCCAACCTCTTGATACCACTCACCCACCCATCATCATTCACTATACACAACGGCACACCACAGGGCTGCCCCCTATCCCCTATCCCCTATCCTTTTTGCCCTCTCACTAGAGCCCCTCCTACAAATGCTCAGACAAAACAAAGCCATTTCAGGACTTACAATCAAAGCAGAAGAATATAAGGCAACAGCCTACGCTGATGATGTATTACTGACTATCACTGACCCCATTAACTCCATGCCACCACTCCTGAAAGCCATACAGGACTACGCAACCATTTCGGGTTACAAACTAAACATAGATAAAACAGAAGCCCTTGCAGGTTGAGGGGTATGATCTATACACCAAAACTGCTTCTTTTTTTGGTGTATAAATCATGTTTTGGTGACTATAGAGTCCATTTAAGCTCACAGGTCTATAATTTCCAGGCAAGGATTTTGAACCCTTTTTGAATATAGGAACCATATCTGCCTTCCTCCAATCCTCCCAGTATAATTCCTGAAACAAAAGAATCCTGAATGATTGATTAAAAACAGAGGTTCGCTTATTTTCACACTTGGCCCCTTAAGTACTTATTTTGTTTACACTTACTTTATTTAGATGCCGTAGCACTTTGTTTTGCATAATCCAATAACCATTTCTCTGCAGGCAATCATTTGCATATCTCTTGCCATAGGATTCTCCTTAATATATATACTGGAAAAAAAGTTATTTAAACTTTCTAATTTTTTCTGGACTAAAATACACTAATCTCTGATTTCAGTGTTCCTACACTTTTTATTTTTATTTTTTTAATTTTTTTAATTTATTTTTTATTTATTTATTTTTTTACAGGAATTTATTGTAATTTAAAACGTTTTAGAGCCAGTCAAGCCAACGTTTCTTACGCAATCCTCCCCCGAGGCAGCTTTCTCTAAGAGATTCCTGGCTAACATTAGGATTAAGGGAATCACTGTCGCAACAGCAACATGTGAGGAACTGGAACCCGAATTACGGATTCCATTACAATAGAATTAATAAAGCAAATCATTCACTATACTAGGTTCCATAACCTATGTGCCAACTATCATTACTCATTGACGCAATTGCTCCCCTGCTACAAGTGTCAAATATTTTTAGTAATACACCTATTACCCCATCTTTTTCGTCAGACCAGTAAGCTTAAATCTACAGCAGAATTTTAAAGTTTGGTAGAATGTAGCTGCCCGTTTCTAACTAACTAGCTTGTCATTATTGCTATGGCTTCAGCTTCAGAAATGCACACTCACCTACAGCTGTTCAACCTACCTGCATCTCAATGATTGCTGTTATGACATTTGCAAATGTTACGTAACCGAAAGATACCAATGCTCATTATTTGTATCGTTATTCAAATTGTTCATCTTATTTCTATGCCCATGTGCACTGTTTTGGTGTATGTATGTATATTGTACTCACATGGACGACAAATAAAGAATTTACAAAAAAAAAAAAAAAACGTTTTAGAGGGTTGTTTTTGCAATTTTTTTTGTAAATTCTTTATTTTGAGAGATTTTTTGTTTTATGGGGTGGGGGTACAGAAAAGAAAAAAGGAAGTTAGAGCTTGTGGTACAGTGTTTGCAGAATTTCCATGTGCTGTTTTATGGCAGTCAAACATTACAGATCCGTGTATTAGTCGTTAGTTTCAGCATATATCAGTTGCCAGTAAACACTTATTACCTTCTTATCAACGATCAATCTTATTTAGACTTGGGTATGGGGTGGGATACAGAAACAAAAGGTGGGGGGTAGGGTACCTTGTCGAATGCTTTTCTTTTTGTAAATGCTTTATTATTTTTTGTAAGTTCTTTATTTATAGTGTTGGGGTTTTTTTTTCGTGCATTGGTTACATTTCAAACAGAGTACAGTTTCATTTGGTTTCAAGATTAACATTTGCGTTCCTTGAGTTTGCCGTTGTTCGTGTAGGTCTGTATGATGAGCGTTTCAAGGTATGTCTTTCGTGGTAGCCTGGGAGTTTGGGTACCAAGTGAATCGTTGGGTATGATAAGAGATGATGCATCTATAACAGTACTCTTAGCGTCTAGAGATCTAAACTGCAGTTGGGTCAGGGAGATGGGAGGGTTTGTGAAGGTGGGGGGGAGGTTACGTATCTTCTTGCGTCGCGTTATGCGTGTCTCAGGTGTTTCTCTTGCTAGAGAATTTGTGTTGCGGGGGGGTTGAGGGTTTTGGGTGTGGGAAAATGGGGGTGTGGTATTGTGTTCCGAGAATAATGGGTGGTAGAGGTTTGCGGCAGGTCAGTGTGAAGTTGAGCTTTTGTCTGAGTGTTGTGTTAGATTATTGTGCAGTGGGTGTGGCTTTCTGGTTTGCGGGTCTCAGGTCTTTGTGTAGGCTTGTGCTGGATTTTGTCGTTGTGGTGTGGATGTGCATGTTTATTGTTTCCGGTGTATTCGTCTTTGATGGGCCGGATTTACCTTGCCTGGCGTGGGTTGAGTGACTGTAACGTGTGTGTGAGGAGATGGGTTATGTGGTGTGTTTTGGATTGGGTTAGTGCCGGACTGTTTCTTGGGGGGTAGAAAATTGAGTGCCGGGTGTGGGAGGTATGAGGGAGTGGTGGGTGTGGGATAATAGTAGTAAAGCTGGGAGGTTTGGGGGGTGTGTAGGGGGAGCTGTGGGTTTGGGTTGGGGCTTGGTGGGGTTTTTTGGTGGAGTGTATGGGTGTGTGTGTTTGTTTCTGTTGGGGTGTGGTCAGAGGGGTTGAGGTGGCGGTCGACTTTATTGTGTCAAGGGTTGGATGTTGGTAGTGGAAACTCGTAAAACCATGGGTCCCAGATTTTGTTGAAAGTGTTTGTGGAGTCATGTACTATTGCGGATAATTTGTCAATTTTCCTGGTTTCTTCTATTTTGCGTTTCACTGTTTGTAGTGATGGCACTTCTGGTTTGCCCTCCTAGTCGCCAGGGCAATTTTAGCTATCTGCTTGTTTTGGCATCTGGAGGTGTTTTCTAGAGGTTTTGAGAGGAGCCATGTCCTCTCAGGGGTCTAATGGGATTTTGGTGTGTAGTACTTTGGATGTCAGTTGTGTGATTTGGAGCCAAAGTGGTGCTATTTGGGGGCATTCCCACCAAACATGGATGTATGTGCCTGTTTCTATGCATTGTTTCCAACATAGATTGGTGTTGGTGATGCCCATTTGTTTGAGCCGGAGAGGGGTAAGGTACCAGCGCATTAGTGTCTTATATGCTTGTTCCCTATGATTTACACATATGGAGACTGATGCTGTGGCCTCCCATATGTCGAATTTGAATGTAGCGGAAGGGATCGAATGTGGTCAGCTGTGTTTGTTGGGGTAGGTCGGGGAAAGATAGAAGTGTTCAGTTTCGGTAGAATTGGTAGAAGCGAAGGAGGTCGTTATCTTAGAATCTGGAGAAGTGTTGGGGTGTCATGCCAGGGATGAACTGTGTGTTGCGGAGGATTGGTGTGAGGGGGTTGAGGTCATGGAGCTTTTGTTTGCAAGCTTGTCCCATATTTTGATGGAGTTTGTTAGTGCTGGAGTGGTGGTGGGTGTTTGTGGCCTTGCTTGTTGGGTAGCCAAATGTAGAGGGATGGGAAGTCCCTACCAAATATGGTGTGTTCCAGGTCTACCCATCTCTCTTGATACCATATGGAGCGTTTAGGTGTTGTACCTGGGCTAGTTGTGCGGCGTGGTAGTAGTGCAGGAGGCCCAGTCCACCTGCTCTGTTTGGTATGTATAGCGTTGCTCTTTTGATCCTAGCTTTTTTTTTTTTTTTTTTTTTGGCCCATATGAAGCGGTCGGTTTGGGATTGTAGAGTCTTGAAATCAGTTGCCTTGAGTGGTATGGGTAGGGCTTGAAATAAATAAAGGAATCTAGGGAGTAGGTTCGTTTTGACTGACGCTAGTCTGCCCAGCCATGATATCGAGAGACCTGCCCATGTTTGTAAGTCTTGTGCCGCTTGTTGTAGTAGTGGGGTGTAGTTGTGCTTGTATGTTTGCGTGAGGTCTTTCGGGATGTGGGTTCCTAGGTATCTTATTTCTGTGTTTGCTAGGTCGAAGGGGTAAGTGATTGCTAGGTGTTGAAGCTGTAGTGGGTCTATATCAGCCAGGCTACAGCTCCTGAAATTCCATTAGGATTTGTATCTAGCCAACAGTTTAAGGGATACTATATGTACCAAAACAGCTTAGCTTAAGCGAGTGGTTTTGGTGCATAGATCATGCCCCTGCAGTCTCACTGCTTAATTCTCTGCCATTTAGGAGTTAAATCACTGTCTATGCAGCCCTAGTCACATGTGACTTACACAGCCTTTCTAAACACTTCTGGCAAAGTGAGATCTAATGTTTACACATCCTTTATTACAAATTCTGATTAATGTAGAATTCTCATATATTGCTCTGGTAATAGCTTGTTAGAGCCTGAATGAGCCCCCTGTATGTGATTGAACTTAAATTTACAGAGCAAGATATAAAAGCTTCTAAAGTAAGTTAACATCTGATTGCAAATTAAACATTTTTTTTCTATGCAGGCTGAGTCACAGCCAGGGGAGGTGTGGCTAGGACTGCATGGACAGAAAAGAAAAAAAAAAATAGTGATTTAACTACTAAATGGCAGTGAATTGAGCAGTGAGACTGCATAGGCAACTATGGTGTTCCTTTAACTTCAGTGGCCCAAAAAAAAGAAATAAAAAGTATTTGAAAGGTTATTAAGAAATACTTTCCAGGAATTCATTGAGAAGAACATGCCAATCTAACTTTATTGCATACTACGAACAAGTAGGTAGAAGTATAGATCGGGGTGTTGCAGTGGATGCCATCTGCTTTGATTTTGCCAAGGCATTAGATACGGTTCCAAAAAAAATTCTAGTGTTCAAACTAAGAGAAATGTACTTTGCTGCAGAGGGGATTTAGATAGATTGGGGAACTGGGCACTCAAATGGCAGATTAAGTTTAATGTAAATAAATGCAAAGTTATGCACTTCATGGTATAGAATGCACAAGCAATTTACCCTAAAATGGTAGTGAATTAAATAACACATGAAAAGGATTTGAGAATTGGTTAGACAACAAACTGGGCAACGATATATAATGCCAATCAGCAGTTGCCAAGGTCAGCAAAGTATTGTCATTCCTGGGATGAAAATATAATCTTGCCTCAAACAGCAGGTGGGGGCCCTAAATAATAATGGGGTGTAGACACATTGTCCCCCCAGCCTCCATCTATTGGCAATGGGTGGGGAGCTAATAATAAAAGGATTCTCTCCCCTCATGACTAGGGGTCCCCAAGCCCCTTTGTCACTACCCAATCTGTATTGAATAGTCACCGGAAGTGGCAAGTCTTAACACACAGGGAGAGAACCAGTGTGTTAAGACATGCCCCCTTCCTTTGATTATCAGTGTTTTTATTGGGCAGCTTGGACCAGTGGTGCTTTTCCATTACCACACTGTCTTTCAGAGCTCAATGCACAGAGGCAACGACGAGCTCAGTCTTCCCTCTGAACAACCCGTCAGAAAGAAAACTGCACGTCTGTTACTATTTTAACAGGCGTGCGTTTAGTCCATTTTCTGACAGCTTGCAAAGTCACAGTAGCTCCCCACTACACTGACTGTATAACATGGATGCAGCGCACACCTGTTACTATTTTTACAGACTTGCGCTCAGTCGATTGCGGGGAGGCTAAGCTCATCAGTAGACTTGGTACCATACTGCAGTAAGGTGAGATGTAATTGCAGTTTTGAACAGAGGAAAAAAAAAAAAAAAAGTTTACATTAAAAACAAAAAAAGTACAAAAACCATTTACCTTCCAACAGCAAGAATGATTAAAAAACCCACTTACGTAAGATAGTATTCATTTCTTCTGTTATGACACCTTGCACAGTGCTCTCTTTCATCCATATTGGCTGCTCTTTCACTTTCTTTTCTTTGCTCTTCTTCTTCAAATCAGACTCACGGACATTAATGGTCACATTTTGAACATACAGATTGCCTATAGATGAATTTCTGTTAGCCCATCGACCACATTGTCCTTGTAGATCCAGCATTGATACATTAGATGTCTGCTCAAAGCTAAAAACACAAATTGAGGGCAAGGTTAGCACTGTACAATTCAGAGGACACATTTAATATTAACGCCTGCGCTACCAAGTAATTTTGGGTAAAACACAACAAAACTTAATTAAAATAATTAAGGCAAAATTTTAAATCTATTAACCCATTAAGGACACAAGTTCTGGAATAAAAAGGGAATCATGACGGAATATTTCCGTCATGTGTCCTTAAGGGGTTAAAGGCTAGCATAGTAAATAAAGACAACAGTAACACTTGTATAAAGATGGTATTAAAGGATAGCTAAATATATCTTACATCTATCTGCAGAGGTTTAAAAAAAAAAAAAATTAAAAATCCTTTTTAGATTGGGGATGGGGAGGGGGAAGCCAGTTGGCGGAGGTAAAAATCAACAAACAATGCTAGGACAAAACTAGTGTAAACTAGTAACATGAAAAAAGGATTCAGTATGGATATGTTAGGCCCAAAGTAACCTGTTTATTTGTAATGATGATATCAAATATTAGTAAGGAGGGAACACAGACAATCAACCAAGAATAAGTGATGCAAAGCATCTCCTCCCCAGGAGCCCAAACAATATTGAAAATATGTCACACGTCAGAGCACATAATAAAGTACAAAAAAAAAAAAAATACAAAGTCATGTAAAAAAACAAACAAAAAAAAACAAAAAAAACACTTTTTTATTATGTACTACTATGTGTGACATATGTTATAATTTCTAGTGATATACAGAAAACCTACCTTCCAGTCAGTTCTGAAATATCAGTTGGCTGAGGTTCGAGTAACTCACACGGAAGAACAATGTCTTCAGTTTCCTGAAGAAGCACAAAAATAGGTTCTATCTGTTCATTAAACTTGGCTAGTAAAGTTCTGGCATCTCTTTTGGGAAGAGACGATGAATCTTCTTCAACTTCAACATTGCAATACGTGCAGCGAAAGAGTTCTGCAGAGGACGGGTATCAATAAAATACGAATAAACAGGTAAAAAGGTAATTGTAACTATTGGCTTTCTAAGAGCATATTTTATGTTAGATGCATTATTGCATAAAATAGTCATTTAATTTACTTGCAAGAGACAGGTGCAACACTGAATAAGGGCACCATACTGTCAATGGAATAATTCGGTTGATTGGAGGACAATGGTTAACCAGTGAGTATATTAGTAATAAGGATTTCAATGCATTAAAATATAGTGTATAATGCGTACTAGTGAATTACTTTTTCTTTAAACAAATAAGAGCTAAGCTAATGGTTGTTGGATTGTTCCACTCAGCAAAGTCTGATATTTGGCATTTTTAAATCAAGTGCTTAAAAGCAATTACCGTCTGCAATTGTACAATGGTCTAGTGCAGGCATAGGCAACCTTCGTCACTCCAGATGTTTTGGACTACACCTCCCATGATGCTTTACCAGCATTGTGGATGTAAGAGCATTATGGGGAATGTAGTCCACAACATCTGGAGTGCCAAAGGTTGCCTTTCCCTGCGCTAGTGTCTGGGTTGACACAGGAGAATCAGTTCAGAACAACAGCTCGGGTAGGCCACGTATATTGATTAGAATGTGTACACTATATTTAGTATAGCAATCTGTAGGTCTGTTGTACAGCTCACATTGGTGACTCAGGTGTGAGATTGTCGGTTAAAATAAGAACACTGAGTGGAAGAAGTGACATAGGATAGGAAGGGGAGATGAATCATACAGACAGTGATGGGATCCTGACCTGGACCAGACTGCCTGAAGATCCCAGGCCCAGCATTGGAAAGATCATCCCAGTGTTCATATATACACTGCTAGATCTACCAGTTTGGCCTTCAATATTTTAAGGATTTTACTACTATGACCTTTGTACAATAAATCTTCTGCTATTTGCTTATGCCACTTTTTTGCTAATGCTGCTAATTTAAGGTTTAATATGTGGACATTATATTGTATCTTATTTAATGAATTTATAATTAATTTAGGTTGTCACAATTTGTATGAAATAAAATAGTCTTTTTATACTAACTTTTCATGACTTAATTCCTTTTATCCTTTTTATTTTTTTTATAATAGATATTGAATCTTCCAAGGTGCAATAACTATCATAATAGAGAGGGATTGGATTTCCATTTCATTATATATAAATGTATTTAGTTTTCCTTTTTTTTTTTTCCCTTCTTCCTTTTCTTTTGCGCAACCTCATCTAAACTAATCCTTTATCTTACGCCTAGGTAGGAAAGGAAGAGTAGAGAGCAGTATGGACGTCAGAATGTTAACTATAAGAAGATTCTAAATAAGTTATAATTACTGCTTGAAAGATGCTATGTCCACCACACATGGAATTTAGTTTGCTACAGAAATATAGCAGAGATTGAGATTTCTGCTACTGTTTTGCAGTAACATACCATAGCAATTCTAAAATAAGGCTACCTGGAACATTTGCAATATAGTTTATGCAGATATTCACTATGTGCATATTATTTGAATTGTGAGAATTTTGTTTATTTGTAAACAGATCTATAGTCACCAAAACAACTTTAGCTTAAAAAAGCAGTTTTGGTGTATAGATCATGTCCCTGTAGTCTCACTGGAAAATGCAAACTGTACTAAAGAGCTTTAATTTTTTAAGATTTTTATGGCATAAGGCAAATTAGGGAGGGGAATATTTATAGATCATGCCACTGCAATCCACTGCCGTTTAGGAGTTAAACCACTTTGTTAATGCAGCCCTAGTCACACCTCCCTGCATGTGACTTACACAGCCTTCTGACACGCCTCCTGTAAAGAAGCACCTAATGTTTACACTCCCTTTATTGCACAGTCTGCACAAAAACGGTTGTTAACGACCGCGGACGTACCGGGTACGTCCGATCACAAATAGGCACTTACCTGCTCGCTAGCGATCCCCCGCCCGCGATGTGGGGACTTGCCTGGCATCCCAGGCATTCCCCCTGCGGCTGAGCTGGCCCCCCCGGGCCATGTCGGAATGTGAGTAAATAAAAGTACAATATAAATATATATTACTTTTATATGCGCACACACACACAATTATTCTAAGTGCATTTTAATATAAATATAAACTAAAAATAAATAATTTTAAAAATTATATACCGGTTTATTTTGATAATAAATATACATATATTTAAATCAAAAAAAAAAAAAAGTCTTGATACACGAGCGATTCTCAGTAACTGAACACATCACGCGGCATTCACCTCTATGGTATTCACCTCTATGGTAATCTCGTTGGTAAACTATTAGCCCTACATGGGGGGGGGGTCTGATCCCGGGTGCTGGCAGGGCTGGAAGCTCTGATTTTGGGTGCTGGCAGGCCTGGGGGGGGGGAGAGTCTCTGGGAGCAGAGCAGTGCAAAAAAAAAAAAAAAAAGGATAACGTTTTTGAAACTTAAATAAGTTCTATGAAAACACAGCTAGAATTTAGGGCTGTTCTGTTACATAATGCATAGTGCATTTTCTAAACATCTATTAATGCTGTAATTTTGGGGGTCTGGAACGGATTAATCAAATTTCCAATAATTTCAATGGGAAATGTTGATTCGGTTCTTGAACAAATCGGAACTCGAACAACATACACACACACTCTACAAATATATTTATAGAATATTTTTACATAATTAAGTCATTTTATTAATTACAATTTGAGGGACCTGCCTGACAACCCAGGCCAAAAGTCCAGAGAATTTAATTTGCGAGCACTGTATTTAGCCCTGTAACTTTCCATGACAATCTGGGGGTACTTTTTTACTCGGGAGACTTTACTGAACACAAGTATTAGGGTTTCAAAACAGTAAAATATATCACAGCGATGATATTGTCAGTGAAAGTGAAGTTTTTTGCATTTTTCACACACAAAAGGGCACTTTCATTGATATCATCATCGCTGTGATATGTTTTACGGTTTTGAAACACTAATATTTGTGTTCAGTGAATTCTCCCTAGTATAACAGTACCCTACATGTACAGGTTTTATAATGTTTTTGAAAGCTACAGGGTCAAATATAAGGTTTGATTTTCACATTGAAATTTGCCAGATTAGTTATGTTGCCTTTAAAAGCGTACGGAAGCCCAAGAATGAGAATAAGCCCCATGATGGGCAAAAGAAGACAATCCAAGGTATTGCAAATGGGGTATGTTTAGTCTTAGTCACAAACACTGGCCAAAGTTAGCGTTCATAATTTTTTTTTTGCATTTTTAAACACACAAACAAATATAAATGCTAACTTTGGCCAGTGTTTGTGACTAAGTGGCTACTAAAACGGACTGGACATACCCCATATTGAATACCCTGGGTTTTCTACTTTAAAAAAAAAAATGTACATGTGAGGTGTGATTCAGAGATTTATGACAGATAGTGTTACAGTGTCACTATTGATAAATTTAAAAATATTTATATTTTGAAACAGCAATGTCCTACTTGTACGTACAGCCCTATAACTTGCAAAAAAAGCTAAGAACATTAACTTTGGGTATTTCTAAACTCAGGACAAAATTTAGAAACTATTTAGTATGGGTGTTTATTGGCGGTTGTAGATGTGTAACAGATTTTGAGGGTCAGTGTCAGAAAAAGTGTTTTTAAAAAACAAACAAAAAAAAAACATTGTCATCATATTTTATAATTTTGTTTATAGTAAATTATATGATCTGATGAAAATAATGGTATCTTTAGAAAGACCATTTAATGGCGAGAAAAACTGTATACAATATTTGTGGGTACAATAAATGAGTAAGAGGAAAATTACAGCTAAACACAAACACCGCAGAAATGTAAAAACAACCCTGGTCCTCAATGGTAAGAAAACTGAAAAACGGTCTGGTCACTAAAGGGTTAAAGTAAGTTACCATCCAATTTTTTAAATTTTTCTTCTTCATGGAGGCTTTGTGCGTCACAACCATTGGAGATGTGGCTATGGCTGTATAAACTGAAACAAAAGTGGTGTAACTCCTAAATGGCAGTGAATTGAGCAGTGAGACCTCAGAGACATTATCTACACACCAAAGTGCTTCATTAGGATAAAGTTGATTTGGTGCCTAGTGTATCCCTTTGTGATGTGGTAGAAACAGTATTACCTAGCGTTAGTTTTCAGGCAAACCGTTATTTGTGTTAGCAGAGACATGGCATACTCCATAACTTACACTATACTTTTACAGACATTTATAGTTAATGAATTCATGTAAAAACTATTAAACTCTAAAAATTACAACCCATTATAAAAATTAGTGACAGCCTTAATAGAAGTATACTTGAGCAAACATTTTGACCAGTTTGTCCTAATGTAATTTTGTTTTCATCCACATCCAAACTAATTTATCCATCAACATATTATTTTATTATGTTATATAGCTCCAGCAAAATTCCGTAGCGCTGTACAATGTGGGGACTAACAGACATGCAATTGTAACCAGACAAATGGACGCACAGAAACAAATGGGTTAAGGGCCCTGCTCAATGAGCTTAGATGCTAGAGGGAGTGGGTTATAGTGACACAAAGGGCATAAATAGGGGTAATGAAAAAGGTTGCTAGAAACGTATTCACTGAGAACTTAGGTGGTTATTTTTGACAGTTGCAGGAGAGGAGTCATGGGGGGGGGGGGGGGGGGGGGGTGGGGAGAAGAGACAGAGCCAGAGAAAGAAACACTGAAAAAGAGCTGGGAGAGGTAGGAGGAGCACCAGGATACAGCAGTATCTCGTAGACCGAGATTATGGAGAATGAGAAGAAGCTGTTGATGATCAACAGTACAGAGTCAGCAGAAACATCAAGGAAAATTAGGATAGAGTAATGGCCGCAAGATTTAGCATCGATTAAATCGTTGGATGCTTTGGTCACAGTTGTTTCAACAGATTGACAAGCGCGGAATCCAGAATGAAGCGGGTCAAGCAGAGAGTTGGATTCGAGAAAGTCTGTCAATCTCGCATACACACCTCTCAAGGATCTTGGAGGCAAACAGCAAAAGCAATATAGGGCGGTAGTTGGGGTCTAGGTTGGGCTTTTTCAGAATTGGCGTTATGGTTGCATGCTTGTAGGGTGAAGGAAATGTGCCGGAGGAAAGGGAGGGATTGAAAACTTTAGTGAGAGGAAGAGCGAGAGAGGGAGACAGAATGCGGATGAGATATGAGGGAATAGGATTGAGGGAACAGGTGGTGGGGCAGGAGGGCCGCAGTAGAGTGGAAACCTCTTTTGTTGTAGTAGGTGCGAATGAGCATAGAACAGTGGAGTAAGTGGGGTTGGGTGATGTAGTGGAAGGGGAGGGAGAGAGATTAGAGATCTCTTCCCTGATTGTAGAAATCTTCTCAGTGAAGTGAGTTGCAAAGTTTGAGGTGGACAGGGTGGTAGGAGGGAGGGGGAGCAACAGAGCAAAGGAGAGCATTAAAAGTGTGAAATAGTTGTTAGGTTTGGCGGCACAGTGTGCTTATGAGGGTGTTGAAGTAATTTACTTTTGCAGAGGAAAGAGCCAGAGTGTAGGAGCGCAGCATAGATGTACAGTGGATGAGGTCAGGTGCAAAATGAGACTTTGTCCAACAGCGTTCAGCAGTTCTGGAACATTTTTGGAGAGCTCGGGTCAGCTTGGTGTGCCAGGGTTGTAATTGGGAATTCTTGCTGCGTTTAAATGTAGGAGGTGCCATGATGTCTTGTTGAGAGGAGAGAGTGGAGTTTTAGAATGAGAATCTACACGTATTTAATAGATTGGATTGAATAGTTATGTTCGGTTGTGGATTAAAAGGAATTTGATTTGGACAAACTGCTCAATGTAATATTTTAGACAAATCTAAATAGAAGCATCTAGCAATCCAATGTGTTGATCTTCTGCTAAAAGGGTGTGCTATGCATTTGTGTTACCACTAGATGTCAGTGGTGTCTAATGTAAGCATTCTTTGTTCTCTGACTACTTGTTTACATAATCCATACCAACATTTTGGTTTGTATTTGTATCCCAATACAGCTATGCTTACAGTTTACTTCTGGTCTAAATCTAAATCTGGAAATTCACTTTGATTTCATTCTGAATTCCCAACAATCCTCACTAGTGAACAATCGTGTAATTGTAAAATGTAAAAAAGTTGGAGAACACAACTTGTTGAAATTGTCTACTCAGGGCCGCCATCAGGGGGTGACAACCATGACGGTTGTCACGGGCCCGGCTGTCCTGGGGGGCCCGGACTGCTTTGGCAGTCCTGGGCCCCACATTCCCTCTCTGCACATTTATATAGCGATGATCGATAGAGAATATATATATATATATATATATATATATATATATATATACACACACACACACACATATACATACACACACACACACACACACACACACACACATATACATATACACACACACACACACACACACACACATATACATATACACACACACACACACACAGCTCAAAACAATAAAGGGACACTTAAACAACACAATGTAACTCCAAGTCAATCACACTTCTGTGAAATCAAACTGTCCACTTAGGAAGCAACACTGAGTGACAATCAATTTCACATGCTGTTGTGCAAATGGGATAGACAACAGGTGGAAATTATAGGCAATTAGCAAGACACCCCCAATAAAGGAGTTGTTCTGGAGGTGGTGACCACAGACCACTTCTCAGTTCCTATGCTTCCTTGATGATGTTTTGGTCACTTTTGAATGCTGGCAGTCAGGCCAGATTAAGAGCCCAGTGGGCCTGGAGCGGACATTTATGATGGGCCTAATTACAGAATCTTATCGACCAAAAACACTGAAACAACCATACCTCCAAAGCGTCGTGTATCTGATGGAGATGGTGTTGGAGGGAAAGGATGCAGCTGTACGAAAACACATACTCTATGCTAATCTCTCTCTAATTTTTGCTTTCATCTTTCAAGTAAATCCATACCTCCTAACAGCAGTGTCCAGTGAAGCAGGGAGTCAATGAGCAGGGTAAAAGGGTGTGCCACTGACGCCAATCACGTGACCAGATCTGCCAAAAGGGGTGAACATGCCAAAAAAGGGGGCATGTTTGTCAAACGAATTGGAAGGCCAGCCTGGCACGAATGCATGTCAGGCTGCCTGTCAATCATGCAGGCTGTCCAACTAAGGGCATACTATGCAGGCAGCACCCTGAACTTGACATAAATGCATCAAATGATGCTCCTACTCCACGCTTTCTAAGGACTGTCCCCTAGCACTCACATGTCCACTTGTCTCCTTATCGTCTTACTAGCAGGCAGAAGTTCCTGGTATATAGTCTGGGACAGAGTAAAGGTGTATGTAGTGAGTGTAGTGTATGTATTGAGTGTAGAAGAAAGGGGACATGCCACAGTGTTAGAGAAACTAAAGTCTGCATAACCTAAACGAATTCTATTGTCAGCCAGTCCACACAAGTTTTGTTGCCATACATCCCTCTTAAGCTTCCAAACTTAAAGGGACACTATAGTCCCCAGAACAAATACAGCTTATTGTATTTGTTCTGGTAAGTATAGAATCATTCCCTTCATGCTTTTTGCAGTAAACACGGTCTTTTCAGAGAAAATAACTCAACTGGTCACTCCTTAGATGGCTGCTAGAGATGCTTCCTGGGGCAGTACTGCCTAGTGTGCAGCACTGCCATTCAGTGTCTCCACCCTCTGCATGCAGACACTGAACTTTCCTCATAGAGATGCATTGATTCAGTCTTTATGATGAGATGCTGATTGGCCAGGGCTATGTTTGACTTGTGCTGGCTCTGCCCCTGATCTTCCTTGTTTACAGTCTCAGCCAATCCTATGGGGAAGCATTGTAATTTGTTCAGACCACCACTTCTGATTATGTCAGCAGACAGAGTCAGTTCAGAGGCAGAGCCAGCAGCTGCAGACTCGAAAACAAGTAAGATTTTACTATATTTATGGAGGCAAGAGAAGGCCAGGGGGGCTAGAAGGTGGTTTTTACATAATAGGGTCAGAAATACATGATTGTATTCCTGACCGTATAGAGTTCCTTTAAGCAAGAGTATGTGAAGAGTAGTTAGGGTTGCCAACTTTCTTGGAAAAAAATACCAGCCTTTGTATAATTAGTTATGAGTGACATCACATGAGTGACATAAGAGAAAATTCTGTAAAATCACCAACAAACTACTCACAGTTTGAGTCTGTTGTATAGATGAATTGCTCCCAGTGTCTCCCTGTCTCCCAGTGTCTTAGTCTCACAAGTCTCCCCATTTCTCAGTGTGTCCCCATGTATCACAGTGTCCCCATTTCGCCCAGACCCTAGTCTCCCAGTGTCCCCATGTCTCAGTGTGTCCCCATGTCACTAGGATACTAGGGGACACAGTGAGACATGGGGACACAGACCTGGAACACTGGGAGACACAGGGGCACTGAGAGACATGGGGGCACTTGTGAATACAGACATGGGGACACTGGGAGAAATGGGAACACTGAGAAACTAGGGACACCGACACTAAGACACTAAAAGACATGGGAACACAGACACTGGAAGACTAGGGGACACTGGAAGACATGGGGACACTGGCTGGAAGACAGTCACTTGGGGACACTGAGACATGGGCACTTTCAGTCACTAGGGACACAGACACTGGGAGACCACGGGAAACTGGGAGCCGTGTGGACACTGAGCCACTAGGGACACTGGGGGACATGGGGACACTAGGAGACATGGAACAGTGTCCCCAGGTCTCCCTGCTGCCTTTCCCACAATCCCTCACTTACCTGAGCTTTAGAGCTGCTGTCTGGACTCTCTGTGCTGTGTAGCTGCTCCCCCATGGATGAGTGAGTAGTAGAGAGAGGCAGGGATATGCTGTAACTTCCTATCCCTGCGCCTCTCCACACACAGTGACCTCTACTGGCCGGTGCTGGTATTGCAGAGTAATCTCCGTTTATATTGAGAAAAATACCTGCATCTGTATTGCCGGTATTACTGCAATACCGGCATGGCCAGGCAGCCTCAAATACCGGCTGTGTCAGTAAAATACCAGTCAGGTGGCAAACCTAAGAGTAGTGTGAAGAAGAAGAAAAAAAAAAAAAAATAGTATTTCTTCAATTTTTTTTTATTTTTTTTTTAATGGGCCTATTCCATGGGCCTTGGCCTGGAGCTGCAGCTCCATCAGCCCCTATGTTAATACGGCCCTGCTGGTGGTGCTTTCACTCTAGTGGTAACATGAGACGAAGTCTACAACCCACACAAGTGGCTCAGGTAGTGCACATCAATGCGAGCTGTGGCAAGAAGATTTGCTGTATCTGTCAGTGACGTGTCAAGAGACATTATAGTGGTAAATAAGGGAACCAGCCACGGTTTCACTGCAAAACGAAGGCATTGGTGCTATGGACTGGCCTGCCCATTCCCCAGACCTGAATCCAATTGAGCACATCTGGAACATCATGTCTCGCTCCATCCACCAACGTCACGTTGCACCACAGACTATCCAGGAGTTGGCAGATGCTTTAGTCCAGGTCTGGGAGGAGATCCCTCAGGAGACCATCCACCACCTCATCAGGAGCATGCACAAGCATTATAGGGAGGTCATACAGGCACGTGGAGGCCACACGCACTACTGAGCCTCATTTTGACTTGTTTTAATGACATTGCATCAAAGTTGGATCAGCCTGTAGTGTGTTTTTCCACTTTAATTTTGAGAGTGACTCCAAATCCAGACCTCCATGGGTTGAAAAATTTGATTTCCATTTTTTTATTTTTGTGTGATTTTGTTGTCAGCACATTCAACTATGTAAAGAACAAAGTATTTCAGAAGAATATTTAATTCATTCAGATCTAGGATGTGTTCCCTTTATCTTTTTGAGCAGTGTATATACACACACACACACACACACACAGCAGAAATGACCGCACTCCAAGGACTTAAGAGATTTTCACGTTATGTTTTGTCCTGATGAAAGCTCCATGTGGGAGCTGAAATGTTGCCTTTTTAAATGGATTGAATAAAACTTAAATTTTATTTGAAAATCTCTATAAAGTCCTTGGAGTGCGGTCATTTCTGCTATGTCTACATGATTCTTGCCAGACCAGCACCGGGCACCACAGGATTACACCAGGAGTGCAAGCCCTCGCAATATATATATATATATCCCGTGGCAACGCTCTGATGGCCGCACGTCTCGCGGGAGTTAGAGAGAGGGAAGAGCTGCAGTCTGCTGGGCCCCCTCTTCAAGTATAGGGAGCCGGGGGGCCCCACAATGCCACCGGACCACCAGGATGGAATCTCCCCCCTCCCAGGACCAGGTAAGAAGCAGGGAGGGGGGGGGGGCGAGTAACAGATTGTGGGGCGGGGAAATGCTCCATTTACAAATCATGCATACCCTAGTACAACACACACTCTGCATTCACCACACAGGGTTGATGAGTGTGTGTCAACACACAGACAGATATCAATACACTAACACATACACACAAATACATGCACACACAGAAGCAAATCCAGACATACACACAAAACACTGACACATGCACACACCATGACAGATACACACTGACAAACACACACATGATTTTTTTTTTTTATATCTGCATCCAACCTCCACCCTTGTTAGCTTACCTTTTGTGTGCAGGAGGGCGGCTTGCTTGTGGTCCTAGTGGGAGTGACGGGTCTTGAGCAACTCACTCTCATGCTCCTCTCCCCTCATGCTGAATCTGCCAGTGCAGCTGCCTCCTCTTCCTCCCACATAGCTCTCTCTGCATGAAAATGGGATGAAGTGATCGTCTGTCACATCCTCCTAGTCGGCCAATGCCACAGGGGTCCAGTTGCACTCTTAAAGGGCCGCTACCCCTTACCAGGCCCCAGTACAGCAAGTGAAATGGGCCACCTAATGGGACCCCTAACCGTGCATGCCCCGGTGTAGCTGTACCGCCAGTCAGGCCCGGTAGGCCGCGATGGCCAGTCGCCAAGGCCAACAAAGTAGATCAAAAGATCTCCCCTGTTGGCCCATGCAGAGCCGGCGCTATCCGAGTGCCAGCCCTGCATTGTGCCTTCGTGGGCTGCTGGGGAGATCAAAGATCTCCCTCACCATCCCACAGGCACTGACAGGCGGTCACCGCCTGGGGAGGGAGGTAGAGAGGACCCGGGGAGCTCTGGCTTGAATTCCGTTGGGATCCTTTCGCGAGATCGGAGTGTTACAGCGGTTACCATGGCAATGCCTCGATCTCTGCAGGCTAGGACCACCAAGGATGGCAGCACAGTGTATCCTCCCCCCAGGAAAAAGGAAAGAAGTGAGGGGGGATACTTTTTAAATTGAAATAAAAATATAGTAACATTAATCTATCTCCCCCCAAACACACATGACCTACAAACATATTTACACACACAGCATCCTCACACAACAAATCCCTATATTCGATCCCTAATATATAGTGGAATTTTTCAGTTTCGTATGGTGTAGCTTGCTATATATTAATAGGGCAGGAATGAGTGGAAATGTGGTTCGAGAGATACCCATGTGCAGAGGTTTATGGGCTGAGTCTCCTCATGACGCATTATACATTGAAAGAAATATTTATGTAAAGTATCTATTTGATATGCTTTGCCTTTTTAATGTAATAAAAAAAGGGTTTACGGTTAAAGGAAACATCGAGTACCATAACCACTACAGTCCACTCATTGGCTTAAATCGCTTAGCTGGAGGAATGGAGAATCCAGAAGCAAGGTCTAAAACTGCAGCGGTTGGAGAGTCCCACTATTCTAAAATAGTTTGCCAAAGTTACACTAGAGGGTGCCTGGATACGTCTGGCACCATAACCACTGCATATGGCTAAATAAAAATAAATAAAAAGGTTTAGTGTTACAAATTTGTTGCGCTTATAGAGAGAGTTTGGAAAGCACAGTTACATAAAGTACCTGAAAATGGATCAAAGAGTTGGTTGACTTCCAGATCAGAGTAGGTGTTAAGACATCCAGGACATTTGAAAGAAGCTCTAGTGGTGGAATCTCTTTCATCAGATTCTATTTTACGACGGATGTGGTCCAGTTTATACTTTACGACATCCACCAAAACTTTATAATTAATATAATAGTAATTGTGTTTGGTGCTTTTCCCATTTGGTCCAGTTTCAACACGCATGCGACACTTGACAAATTTATCTGCCTTCAGGGTGTTGAGGACTGCCCGAAGCTGTTTCTTGTCAAACTTCAGAAGCAGAGCTATGTCATCCTCTTTCACACATGGGTATCGGATGAGCACATCAAGAGTCAATGAGTGCTCCAGCCCGTAAAATCCTCGGACCATATACTTAGCAAGACGCTTCAAGGAAGCTGGAACTTCAGTCATAGTGTCTTGATCACCCATCGCAACACTGTAAATTCTGCAAAACTGAACACATCACATTGGGTCATTTAAATGGTTTGTTAATCACAAACCGTTTAAGTTAAAACCTATTACATTCCTGGCTTGTTTTCAGACCAGTTTTTTTCCTCCTGGTTAGTATTCAAGTGGTACTAAACAGAAACTACTGAAATTGCATGGTTAAAGGGACACTATAGGGACCACACATTGAAGTGGTCTGGGTGCAGTGCATCTGTCAGTTGAACCTTGCAATTATTGCAGTTATCGATTAACTGTAATAATTACATTGCAGGGTTAACTGAACCTTCATTGGTGGTCTAGGGAGGTGTGACAAGGGCTGTATAAACAAAGTGATTTAACTCCTAAAATGGCAGAGAATTGCGCAGTGAGACTGCAGGGGCATGATCTATACACCAAAACTACTTCATTCAGCTAAATTTGTTTTGGTGCCTGTAGTGTCCCTTTAACTGTTGGCTAGATTTTATTCCATTTGCTCCTAAAGGATTTTCTGGAACTGTAATCTGGCTGATTTTTTTGCATTTACTGCAGCTTCATCATCATCATCATCATGTTACTGCACCATAAAGACACAGTATTATTAAGAATTTCTTGGCCACTGGGATGGAATCATCCTTTGTAGGTTTGCATTCTTCTCATGGCAGCTAGGTATATTTACCACTAACTCTAAAAGAGTTATTTACTAAGCTATGAATTTTAGTGAAATCTAATTGGCAAAATTTAGGTATAACAGTTGCTTTGGATAAGTTAACAACTCAGCTGTGTTGACAGCTTGCCAATTTTAGATGGAGTTGTAAAATTCAGATTTAATTTGCTATATTTCAGAGTTTAGTGAATGACCATGTCACGATAACCCTAAATTATAATAAAGATTCTGAATGCTCATTATCCACCAATCATTGCAAACTCTGTGTACGTGGCACATAGCTGTCCTCTATTTAGTCAGAATTAAGTCTATACCTGTGCTCTCTTCAGAAAGTAATATGAGAGTGGGTCTTCTGCTATAGCCTGGAGGGACCATAGGGAATAGACTGAACACAAATAAAGCTGTTAAATAGGCTAATTAAAAGTCGCTTCCAGCTGTACTATGGATTTATTGAAGACAGACTTTTCAGCTTGTGAAAACAAACATTTGCCTAACATGTAGAGCCTTGCAGATACTATAGGACTAATCACTAAACTGTGGTTTGTTGGAATTTCACCAGGAAGCTGTGAATATAAGGTCAAATATCTGGACTGGAGACACAGGTGACAGAATATTTTATCAATGTGTTGATTTTAGCTGGACTTGTGTTCAAATCCAACTCAGCTGTGCTGCACGACTCAGTTCCTGTCAATCACTAGACGAATAAATCGATTTGTTGGTGTTTGCTGAACTAATCAAATGTTCGTCCAACGATTAACAGGCATTTGAATCGTTGTTAGCCTAACATTTGAAATTCACTTGTCAGTTCCCCACATTTTTTAGTAAATCACTCAACTGAGAATTTAACAGCAAACTGTAGAAAATTGGAGACTGAATTGCATAATTTATGCAAAACAGCTCTTTTATAAAAAAAAAATTCTTCAATTTTACTATAGTTACATTTTGTCTATTTTAGCCCAGATTCTGCAGTTTGGTTTTCAGTCTACAGCAGGTCAGTATTTAGTGAGTAAACCCCTGTGTGCACTATGCTGTTTACATATTACAAGAGTAAGCAGGGTGACCTCTGAATTCATCTTTTTGTTTTATTTGGAAACAATGAGCCTTGTAGTAAAATTGGAACAGTAATACATCATTCCTTATATGGTAGTAAACATTTGCTCATTTAGAGGTGTGCAAAAAAACTAAAATCTTCAGACACCGTCATCTTATTTAGGCCTCCATTTAATATTTTAAAAAAACTTTTCAAATGACTATTTTTGGCTAAACTTTAAAATGATCTAATATTATGAACAAATTTTAATTGTTATATTTTTTATATATTTCTAATATGTATAGTAGTTTTTTTTTATTATTAATATTGCTTAAAGGGACACTATAGTCACCTGAACAACTTTAGCTGAATGAAGCAGTTTTGGTGTATAGAACATGCCCCTGCAGCCTCACTGCTCAATCCTCTGCCATTTAGGAGTTAAATCCCTTTATGAACCCTAGTCACACCTCCCTGCATGTGACTTGCACAGCCTTCCATAAACACTTCCTGTAAAGAGAGCCCTATTTAGGCTTTCTTTATTGCAAGTTCTGTTTAATTAAGATTTTCTTATCTCCTGCTATGTTAATAGCTTGCTAGACCCTGCAAGAGTATGTGATTAAAGTTCAATTTAGAGATTGAGATACAATTATTTAAGGTAAATTACATCTGTTTGAAAGTGAAACCAGTTTTTTTTTTCATGCAAGCTCTGTCAATCATAGCCAGGGGAGGTGTGGCTAGGGCTGCATAAACAGAAACAAAGTGATTTAACTCCTAAATGACAGTGAATTGAGCAGTGAAATTGCAGGGGAATGATCTATACACTAAAACGGCTTTATTTAGCTAAAGTAATTTAGGTGACTATAGTGTTCCTTTAATATAGCAAAGTAAGTTGAAAATAAATATTTTAAAAGTTTATCCAAAAATGAAAACTACATTTGTAAAGATTCTACAACAATATTACATTGAGACTTTAATATCAGAAGACTTGGCTTAATGAGAAAATGACCCGCTTTGTTAGTGTGTCACTAAGTTTTGCAATTTTTTTTCGCAGTTTGTTTTTTTCAGTTCACTAAAAGTAGATGTTTAGTTAGGTTATTCACCGAGCTGAAACTGAATTGTTGGGAATTCAACAGGCAATTTCAAACTTCAAGCAAAAAAGTAGTGAATTTCTTAAATTTGGCTAGTTTGAATAAAAACTAGACTTTTGTTGTTAATTTCATCACCACTCACAATTTAGGAAAAAAAACATCATGCTTTCACTGTGGGTCTGTGCAAGAATTTTCTGAAGTAAATGTCTTCATATACTGTATGGTCCAAATATCAGACATCCCATCAAATCAGGAAATCCAATTGTGTATATTAACAAACATACACTCGGTGCCCTCTTTAGTTAGTACAACTTTCCTCCCTTGGCCCACATTGTAGCCAAAATTCTTTATGGCTTGGAAATATATGTTAAAGGACCACTATAGTGCCAGGAAAACATACTCGTTTTCCTGGCACTATAGTGCCCTGAGGGTGCCCCCACCCTCAGGGTCCCCCTCCCGCCCGGCTCTGGAAGGGGGAAAGGGGTAAAAACTTACCTTTCCAGCGCTGGGCGGGGAGCTCTCTCCTCCTCTCTCGCCCGGTGAATGCGCAAGAAGGCTGGCGCATTCAGCCATAGGAAAGCATTTACAATGCTTTCCTATGGACGTTGCTCTCACTGTGAAAATCACAGTGAGAAGCATAGCGCCTCTAGTGGCTGTCAATGAGACAGCCACTAGAGGATTAGGGGGAAGGCTTAACCCATTCATAATTATAGCAGTTTCTCTGAAACTGCTATAATTATGAAAAAATGGGTTAACCCTAGAAGGACCTGGCACCCAGACCACTTCATTAAGCTGAAGTGGTCTGGGTGCCTAGAGTGGTCCTTTAAGAAATTCTGGTCCATCTTAATATAATTGCATCATGCAGCTGGTTTCACAGTCATGTTGTGAATCTACCCTTCCAACAGATTCCGAAAAATGCTCTACTGCATTGGTAACTGGGAAGACCCTCTTAGTACACTGGTCTGGACGTATATGTTTGTGGAAGAAGCAATTAGAAGCAACAATGCCCCGAATATGGCGTTTTTAATAATGTGTGGCACGGTAATATTTCTCACAAAATACCTACTTGAACCATTGACAATAGGCAGGATATAGCCATGGGCTTATATTTCTGCAACATGTCAATCTTACCATGTCTATCGGTCACAAGAGATTTTTCACACCACCATTTTACAATTGTCTACTGTAGAGTTTCGGTTCTCCTCAGCCCTAGTTTGAACTGGAGCCCTAGTTTCATGTTCCTAAAGGGACACTACACTACCCAAATGGGCAAAAAAGCACAAATTACTGTATTGTATATATACTTCCAATAAATACATGTATGCATTTTTCCTGCATGTATTTTTGGGGATATATCTTAAAAGATGTGGAGTGGTCCTTTAACAGGAGTGGTTTTCTACATTTGTAGCCTATCCTCTTCATTGTTTGATGTTTTGTGTGTTCAGAGAAGCTCTTCTACATAGGATTGGGTTTGGACCATTCTCTGTAAACTCTAGACACTCCTGTACACAGTAATTATACACCTCTCAGCCATTCTGATGTTTGGTTTGAACTGCAATTGAACCACCTTACCATGTCCACAGGCTTTTATTCAATGTGTTGCTGCCATCTGATTGGCTGGTAATATATTTGCTTTAATGAGTAGGCATACCAAATAAAATGGCCCAAGTGTATAAGTTCATATATAAGAACAAATTTTGCCAACGGCTCACACATTGGTGGGCTGTGGCCTGACTTAGAACATCAAAGGATACATACTGGAGGACAAGCTGCACCATCTATATCTATGGTGACTTCTATCCCTTTGAAGTGTTACAGAACTTGAACCCTTAATAGCAATGTTGATTAGGTACAGCATGGTTTTTTTTCTCTAACCTGACTTCTCCACTCGCTCACCTACATAACCCCTTACACACTCCCTCCAGATTATGCTCGTGCTCATTCCTACCCAACTACAGGGACATCCCTGCTCCTCAAGTACAGTCAGTCACCTCTTTTACAACTATTTGCAAATTATTGAAAACGCTGCTATTTACAAAAGCCTTACTTTGTCTTTATTAGTCTGTCTCAATCTAATATGATCTCACCCTCCTACTGGTTTCTGCTCCCTATCAGTGTACTCATCAACCCGGTTTCTCCTGGTGGCATTTCCACTCACCAAGTCTAGACTGGTCATTGAGCATCCCATAGACTGGTCATTGAGCATGTGTCCAAAAGGCTACATTGTTCAGTTCAGTGCTGCTGTCCACTGAAGCAGTCTATGATAAAAGTAACTAGTACGATCTACTTGCTGCAGGGTACATATCTATGTGCTTTATCCTGCTCATCTGCTACTGTTTTGAGTTACTCAGTGAGTATTGGCTAGGCTAACAGAATTTGACCAGACTGTGGGAAAAGTTTGCAAGTGTTTTGTTTTTTTTCCCTAAAACTTCAAAATACACAAATTAAATAAATGTAAGAGATGATATAGTATAACAGATTATTTTATTGTAACATCTTTCTAATGACAGTTTTAAAAACAGAGACCGAGTGTGGAGTGTTCAGTCTTTATTTGTGTGATAGAGAAAAACATCCATTAATAACACTATTAGGAATAGTAAGTTGTAACACAGCCTTGTGGTTGTAGACATAAATATTGAGGTACAAAAATAAACTTAACTTCTATTTAAGTGTTGATAAAGCATATTTAAGTGAGAGAACCCACAAGTCAGGCATATTTTTAATTCCAGTCCAGTCAAAACACTTACTCTGATGTACTTGTTTATAAGAGCTTACAGAACATTTTCATAATATAGTACGTTTCTACATTCCATTTATCTTTGTACACAATGGTTGCTAATTACTCACAAAATTCAAAAGTTCTTGTTTAGACTTGTTATAAAATTCAAATTCCCTCTGATTGTTTTATCATTTTACTAATCGATAGCTCTATTACTGATTTATATAAATTCTGGCAAGAGGTTCTAAAGCAGTGGTCTCAATGTCAATTTACCAGGCACTTGTCTTCCAAGATCCATATTGCCAGATGTGCACTTGTACACACAAACCAGTAATACCATACACACAGATACTCACACTGTCTCACACACATCTACACACCACGTATAATAGAACACTTCCTCCTCGGCACCTGTAGCACGGCTGAGCTAATCACTGAAGTTCTAGCACGTGGCTGCCAAAAGCCAGAACTTTAATTGTGATGTGTGCTCCTGCAAGCCTCATTAGTAAACATTGCTCCCCAGCTGGACAGACATCTCAAGCACGGCAAATGGGTGTGATCGCAGTCCTTTTGCTGACTACACACACTGTCGGTTCGGGATATAGAGAGGAATGGGGTGGCTCTGGGCTGCAATAAAGTATTTAGAAGACTTGTACTTTGAGACCCCTGTTCTAAAAAAACCATTACATTTTAATGTTACACACATATTCCTTGGAAACGTGCAACATTTGTTCGTCTGAACCATATGAATCATATCTCACAGTGCCTAGTCGAGATTGGGGGGGGACATTAATCTGTGCACATGAAGATTTCTTAAGTAAGAGTAGACATGTATGATAGGGGAAAAAAGGCTAAAAGGGGGTCAATAAAGGTAAGCATTTACCTTGCAATAGTAAATTCCGGCACAACCAGTTCAGCGCTGCCATTTGGGCACACTATTATTTTCAGCTCCATTATCTCTCTCTATTTATAGCGTAGTGAAGGATTGCACTCACCTAATACTAATTAGTGTTAGGGAGAAAATGTATCTGTTTCCGTTTAGTAAGGGGCAACAGTTGGGAGGCCAGAGACTTTGGCCCATGTCCAAATTGATATGGGAAATGCAAAAAAAAAACTACAAAAAAATTCTCAGTTCTTTTCCAAGACTGCACGGTCATGTTGGAAGGCGCTCTGTTCTTCACTAAAGCAACATATAATGCTAGTCGAATAAACAGCTTTATTAAAATATATAGATATATTTGGAGGATGGTTTGGGGGTTTGATTACCTTTTTTGTCAATCAATTTCTTGATCGAGAATAGAATAGTACAATATATAAATAGTAATTAGTCAAAAAAGCTACTCATATGGCTAGAACAGCCACTGTTTTTTTTTTTTAATTTTTTTTTTTTTTTAAATAATGTAGTAGAAACAATGAAGAACATGTAATCATATGTCTGATAAGAGGGTGCCATTACAGTGGTATTTATGAACATTTAGGGTAATGAGATGTCACCTAAAAAAACTACACAACAGGCTGAAGGCTGTAAAGATAGAGATACGATGATGGAGTAATTATTAAAATACTAGAAGCTGGAGACATAGGATTAACTACAATACAAATCAAAGAGCTAATCAAAGCCCGGCATATTTGGGTATATTAGCAGCCGTGGATGGCTTGGGAAAAATCTAAGCTAGAAAACTAGTGACTAAAACGACACTGTCACGCCAAACGTCTCTTTCTCCTATTGTTTCCTCTTCTCTTCCTCTCTCAGAATCTGTTATTCTTTTCTTGATTTCTGATCTAGCTTTCTTTAAAATATATGACAAAGTAGGGACTATTTTGTCGTATGTATTTTTCCTACGCTCGACTTTCTTTTGACCAAAGGAGGAGTTTAAGTCAGCTCTATTTCCTGTGTCAAGGAGAAGGGCAAGTACTATCTCTGACACAAGAAATGGAGCTGACTTGGGTCAGAGAAAGTCAAGCGTAGGAAAAATACATATGACAGAGTAGTCCCTACTTTATCTTATGTTTTAAAGAAAAGAAAGGTAGGTTTGGCATGACAGCGCCACTTAATCTAACATCTGATTACTGCACTCAGTATGATTTCCTTTTTAATTAAAGCAGCTCGGTCCCTTTTTCTCATGTGTAGTGCTGCATAATGGAGCCCAGATTGTTTTTTCAAATTATACAAAATGAAAAGTAAGGACTTATTTTCCTTAAGAAGAAACAGCATGCGGAGAAAAGCTGACAAATGGTCGGGCTTTAGTCAGGCTCCATGTCATTTGTCAACTTTTGTCATTGGCTATCAAGTTCTTATTCACCTCCTCCTAGCCCTAACTTTCTCAGGACCCGACAGCGAAGGAAATGCACCCAAGCTGACTGGTGAATGATCATGATAAGACGCACACACCCTACAAAGTGCAGAGGAGAATAATCCGGGAATCAACAGTAAATATTGAGTGGCTTAGGAGACCATAAGAAGTCAGCAAGGTTAATAGTTATAGAGCTGATTGAAGGATGCCCTTTTATTTTATTCAGTAGAAACTTTATAAAGTTGTCATCAAGTACCACAAATAGCTCATTATTTTGCATCAGATTTAAAAAAACAAGAACACATTTGTGTTCTAAGTTAGTAAATTAAATGACTTGTCAACAAATGTTCAGTGAGTGCTATTTGGGGACACAGCCAGCCATCTAGTTGTATAAAATATTTTTTGTGTTCCTTGTTGATGTTATGCTACTAGTACAAAACATTAGAAAAGTAATCTCCCTGTCATAGTAACTAATCAACAGACCGTATAATACAAATATACTTTACATCCATTTTAAAGTTAAAGTGCAATTTGTAAAGCCAAGGGAGGGTATTCTACAGAGAGGAATTCATGTAGCCATATTCAATACAATCATCAGGTTAGGAACCTTCACAATAAAAACCATTAACAATATGGTGAGGGGTCACTGACGGCATCAAGACCTTCTCCGTGAGATCATACAAGAGCAATGCTTCTCCACCCATTTCTTCTTTGGAATACAATCAATATGTTGTCCCATTCACCAAGGCACGCAGGGACTTGGACAGTTCCGTAGGTATGCTTCAAGTGTGTTTTCAGAAACAGACATCAGTGTAGTATATGTAGTAAGCTACAGATAACAAAACAGAGCATGGTCATGAATATGGTTGCTTAATAAGTTCCTCCACATTTGAGGATCATTATTTGTTATTCCATTTAAAAATGTCTGGGAGCGATTTATAGACCTGAAGGAGAATGTTTCTAAGGGAAACACTGCTTAGAACTTGGCAGTGTCAGAAAAAAATGTGCGTGTCCTTTTGACTTTTGTAGAATGTTTGTTTCACTTGCTACTTCCTGGCTAGACTTTTAACTCTCTCTTTATAAGACTGGAGAAGAGTTCTGGCCAATCAGTGAGTGACAGGAGCCTGTGTTCCAGGAAGCACTGTCTTTTGGGTGGAAGCACACACCCGTGGCTATTACTACACACTAGAAGACAGTATTACCTCCTTAACAGACATGGCAAGACTCTAATGGAGCGTCACCTTAAAAAGATACTAAAGTGTAACCTGACAGGAATTCAAAATTAAATTTTATGTTTTAGTTCAAAAGAGCTGAACTCAAAACAGATGACTTGATTTTTTTTTTTCCAGTTCAGCGATTTTTGTATGATATTTGGAAGTGGAGTTTGTAATTATTGATAATTCCCCATCTAGGGGTTTATACACAAAAAATTGAACTGTAGAGAAGTGAAAATAAATTAGCAAAATTCCAGCTAAAATAATGTTTGCACTTTTGCCAACATGTTGCAATTTAGTTTCAATTCTTTACAATTCTGAGTTTAGCAAATAACCCCCTTACCAGATTTGAGTAGCTGCGGTAACTAGAAAGATGAAAGAAACACGGGGCTCACAGACACGGACAAAAATAAAGGTCGTATAACTACATGCTGGCTATTTAGGCCTATATAAAGTATGCAGGATATTGTATAACACAGGGATACAACCTGATACTAATTACCATTTAAACTATAAAGACCTTCGATAAAAATATATGTAAAAGCTTACCTTGTTGAGGACGGGTTTGGTTGACAGCATGTCATAAATAGTCGCAAATGAAACGCTCTGTAAAAATAATCACAGGTTTGAGTGTGAGACCTTGTCAAAACCTGTACCCCAAAAATGGAAATTACTTTAGAACTCACTGCAGAACATGGAGATGCGTTTGTGCTTCATTAAATTATATTGCATTTTTTTTGTTCTCCTATCACAAGAGTTATATCACTATAATGCAATAATTTCTCAGTAACATTGTATACCACAAATATATATGCACAAGCACCAAAATCGGAGTCTGAGTAGAGTCCCAATATAAGTGTGGACCATGTGGAGGTGGTCTCCCACCAAAAGGCCCACAGTCTAGGTAAGTGGCAACGAAAGCGCGGCAGCTTAGGGACCTGAGAGTAGGTAAATAGCCGAAGACAAAGCGCCATCTGTCCACTTCCTGGTGAGAGCTTACTGCTCTAGCTGTGCCCAAAATCTGTCGCACAGATCATTAAAAGTCATAATAAATGTATCCACCCAATTTTCAGATAGGCCTCAGATATAATATGGTGCAAGACAGGACTTTATGCAGTGCTCATGTTGTGTAAGAGCGGGGGGTGGGCTGGTTCCACCGTCTCATGCAGGTTGATAGACTGCAACACGATAAATTCAGAGGAGCACTTGATAAATCTAGACCAAATAGCAGTCCAAACGTATCCAGGTCCTCTTTAACCCCTTAAGGACACATGACATGTGTGACATGTCATGATTCCCTTTTATTCCAGAAGTTTGGTCCTTAAGGGGTTAAGCAAAGCGTAGTAGGATAATCGCTGAGAATAGCAATAATTCTCAAGATTTAGGCTTAACTTGGATTTGCAGCCGATATCTTGCTTGATTGGCAGTTAGGCCCCGCCTCCATATGATATTCAATTAGTGTATTCCCTTGACGTTACTAACACTACATTATGTCTTATAAAGTACTGTATTATTACTATCACTACAGCTCTATTGCCTGTCTGTTATCTGTAATGCGTATTGTGTGTATATTTGTAATAATTAAGAAGCGCCAACATAGTCTGCAGCCCTGCATAATGAGTATTTAGCAGTAGTCATCCTTAATACATTGCCAATACTTGAATCCCAACCACCAAATGCTAAATAGCTAGTGCTAATATTTTATGTAAATATACCCAGTAACCGGAGAACAATCTACTTTTGAGAATTAAATAAAGTCTATCCACCATGCTTCTAAAACAAAACAGGGCAAAACGTTAAAACTGACTTCTAGCAGGAGTAATAACACCAAACACATAAGTAGGCTACAATATTTTAAGATCCCAACGATTTCCTTGTTTAAAGATATACCTTTTGGCCAGTTTTATTCAAACATTTCATTGCTGGTGTTCTTCGGTCATCAACAGGCAGAGGAGCCTTCCAGTGATCATAGTTTGTCTCCAGAACATACCATCTTCCTTTTGGAATATCCAGACTTAAACATAAACAGACTCATTATTATCAGGGACAGGACATCACACAAGTGACTGTAGGTTAAATAAGCATGTGAATACTCACTCCCAGATATCAAGGCAGGAATCTCTAGCACGAGTGATAACACAGGCCTCTCCGGATTTATTTCCTCCCAATATAAAATATGCTGGAGCAAGAATTTTTGTTTTTGATAGAAGAGTTTTGCTTTCTTCATAACTGCAAACAAATAAACCAAAATCAGCATGTCTAATCAGCATCTTGATATGCCACACCTGTGGCAAAGGAGAGGTGCTCACTAACACAGATTTGTGATTATTTGAGAGAAATCGGCCTCTTGTGTACATAGAAAAAGTCTTAGATCTTTGAGTTCAGCTCATGAAAAATGGGGGCAACAACAAAAGTGTTGTGTTTTATAATTTTATTTAGTGCATATAAAAAAATTATATAGTAAGATTATACTATAAAGCAGTCATTGCTAAATCTGTGTCAGGTTTAGCACGGACTGCTGTATAGCACAGGGATATTCCCTTAGGAATCATAGTAGACATTGTGGATGACTGTAACATAATGAATTCACAGCATTTCAGCATCTTTCCCCTTCAAATGTACACAATTAGCCCAATATAATAATAATAAAATAAAAAATAATATATATATATATATATATATAAAAAAAAAAATATACACACACAGTCAGGTCCATAAATATTGGGGCATCTACACAATTCTAATTTTTTTGGCTCTATACACCAACACAATGGGTTTGAAATGAAACAAACAAGATGTGCTTTAACTGCGGACTTTCAGCTTTCATTTGAGGGTATCTATATCCAAACTAGGTGAACGGTGTAGGAATTACAACAGTTTGTTTATGTGCCTCCCACTTTTTAAGGGACTAAAAGTAATGGGGCAGATTAACAGTCATAAATCAAACTTTCACTTTTTAATACATGGTTGCAAATCCTTTGCAGTCAATTACAACCTGAAGTCTGGAACGCATAGACATCACCAGACGCTGGGTTTCATCCCTGGTGATGCTCTGCCAGGCGTCTACTGCAACTGTCTTCAGTTCCTGCTTGTTCTCGGGGCATTTTCCCTTCAGTTTTGTCTTCATCAAGTGCACGCTCAATCTGATTCAGGTCAGGTGATTGACTTGGCCATTGCATAACATTCCACTACTTTCCCTTAAAAAACCCTTTGGTTGCTTTTGCAGTATGCTTCGGGTCATTGTCCATCTGCACTGTGAAGCGCCGTCCAATGAGTTCTGAAGCATTTGGCTGAATATGAGCAGATAATATTGCCCGAAACACTTCAGAATTCATCCTTCTGCTTTTGTCAGCAGTCACATCATCAATAAATACAAGAGAACCAGTTCCATTGGCAGCCATACATGCCCACGCCATGACAATACCACCACCATGCTTCACTGATGAGGTGGTATGCTTTGGATCATGAGCAGTTCCTTTCCTTCTCCATACTCTTCTCTTCCCATCACTCTGGTACAAGTTGATCTTGGTCTCATCTGTCCATAGGATGTTGTTCCAGAACTGTGAAGGCTTTTTTAGATGTTGTTTGGCAAACTCTAATCTGGCCTTCCTGTTTTTGAGGCTCACCAATGGTTTACATCTTGTGGTGAACCCTCTGTATTCACTCTGGTGAAGTCTTCTCTTGATTGTTGACTTTGACACACATACACCTACCTCCTGGAGAGTGTTCTTGATCTGGCCAACTGTTGTGAAGGGTGTTTTCTTCACCAGGGAAAGAATTCTTCAGTCATCCACCACAGTTGTTTTCCGTGGTCTTCCGGGTCTTTTGGTGTTGCTGAGCTCACCGGTGCGTTCTTTCTTTTTAAGGATGTTCCAAACAGTTGATTTGGCAACACCTAATGTTTTTGCTATCTCTCTGATGGGTTTGTTTTGTTTTTTCAGCCTAATGATGGCTTGCTTCACTGATAGTGACAGCTCTTTGGATCTCATATTGAGAGTTGACAGCAACAGATTCCAAATGCAAATAGCACACTTGAAATGAACTCTGGACCTTTTATCTGCTCCTTGTAAATGGGAATAACACACACCTGGCCATGGAACAGCTGAGCAGCCAATTGTCCCATTACTTTTGGTCCCTTGAAAAGTGGGAGGCACATATACAAACTGTTGTAATTCCTACACCGTTCACCTGATTTGGATGTAAATACCCTCAAATTAAAGCTGGAAGTCTGCAGTTAAAGCACATCCTGTTCATTGTTCATTTTTCATTTCAAATCCATTGTGGTGGTGTATAGAGCCAAAAAGATTAGAATTGTGTCGATGTCCCAATATTTATGGACCTGACTGTGTGTGTATATATATATGTGTGTGTGTGTATATATATATATATATATATACATAAAAAAATTATATTTACAAATAGCAGACATTGACATTGTGACCTATGTGAAATACATTACATGTAACTTTGTCTGGTAAAAAAAACAATCACAATACAAATAATAAATAAAAAATTGCCAGTTTGTTTCCCTAAAGGACTTCAAAAAGGGCTATTCATAAGCAGAATTTCTAGAGCTGTCACTGAGGGAACAAATATACCATGTATTCTAATGGCTACTCATTTGGCAGTCTATCATAGAATCACTCTTTAGACAAATTCATCACGGATGCATAACAAACCGACTGCAATTAAATAATGAAACGATTTCTGGTCCCTCTAGCATCGCTTTAATCACCTCTCTTATTTTAACTTAATTTCTATAGAATTAAGGAAAGGTTTTCATTATTGATATATATATTTTTAATTCTTTAGCATTGACATCTTGAACAGACAAGGGGGGGAGGGGTGTGATTGGGAAGGGGGTAGGCGGGGGGTTGACAACTATATATAAGGGTCTAGGTCTGGCTAGTCCCTCAGCATCATTATTGATAGTTTGTATCATTTTCTTTTTTATTGCAGGGACATTAGTGTCTATACTTACTATCAGTAGCTATTATTTTGTTGCCCTAATTAATATAGCATTACATTTACTTGCCTGGTTCCATTTTCCAGAACACTCCTTGTAAGAAAACTCATCCACATCCCATCTCTTTTTCCCAGAATCCACTCGAGCACACCTTTAAAAATAAAACAGAGCTGGGATAAAGAACGTCTTAGACATCAACAAATACAGCTAACATTTTAGGCTTTAGAAGTAAATAAATGGCTGGCTGTAATTGTTTTACCACTGTGCGTTTTTCAGTGTCTCTGCATTAACAACTGAAACTATTTGGGCATTTTTGCTTTTTCTTTTATTCTAATGTAATTCCATACTTCCGTATCAAGTATGTCCTTATGTAATGTAGATTGTTTTAAAGGACAAATAGGGATTCCTCATAACAATTTTAAGTATGAATGAAATATTAAAACAATTTAAGAAATCTTTTCACCATTTTTCTTACAATAATTTCTCCATAATTGATGAAGCTAAAGAAAATAAGTCTTCAACATAGATTTGTTTAGATTTTATGAATGCCTCCTTTATCTAAGATTCCAATCACTTTTGTAAAACACTACAAGCGCAACAAGCAGCGCGATCGCATTAGGACTACCCCATAGACAAGCATTGAAACAACGCTTTCCTATGGAGTTTTAGCTGACCTTGGACAAAGCCTGAGGACGTCCAGCGCCAGTTAAGCGATCAGAAGTCGCCTAATGACCCGGAAGTGCCTCTGGTGGCCGTCTTCAATTTATTTATTTTTGTAACTAAACATTTTACACACTGTATTTTCACTGTGAATTTCATTAATACTAATGGCTCCTTCTTCTTACAACACCTCCCCAAAAATATTTGGTTACATCCCTTGGGTACAATACTGCCCCATATGCATATACTAAGTTTATAATTTCACGATATGGTTCAGTAGGGAAAAAAAAAATCCAATAAGACAAAAAAAGGTTAAATCCTAGATCTACCTGCCAATTTTCCCTAAATTACTCTTGCACAAAATCCACAAAAGCCCCAATTCTGAGCCTTAAGCTAAACCAGATACTAAGTCTAGCCGAATTATACAGTAGGACAAGGTAATCAAACTGCCAATCAGCTGTGATCGGCTGTAAATGACATTCTCTGAGACTGGTTCCAAGAACTTCACAATTCGGGAAGCTAATAAGCTCATTGCTGGTTTGCCTCTCTTGTCAAGCTTTTAGCAACAGCCCACCACATGCCAATCCTAGTCTGTGGTGGGTACAACAAAACAATAACCGAGGCCGAGGGAGAATTTAGAGAGTTGACATGAAAGGTACAGTAAATTTACCAATGTAGCCACCATCCAGACTGTAACGCTCATTCATCGTAAGAGTGAAGATGCCCTAGAAGAGGTATAGGTTAATATATAATCCAATGCGAGGCACTAATGTCTATTATGCACACTATGGTAGGCATTACGTAAACATTTGATAAAAAACAGGACATTAATGACGTACCACAAAGCATTTATTATTCTATAAATAGAAACAATTTATTTATAGCACAGCTGTATGAATGTATTGACATCTCACATTTTGACAGATCATTTCATGATAAAAAATGGTAGGTGCATTGCTTAGTATTTTGGCTTACTTTATTCAAATTACACAACAAGAAAAAGCTCATTAGAGGACTATATGCTTGCCAAGTCACAAACATTGCAATTCTCAGTTTCGAGAGTTAAATACCACTTCATACGCACACTGATGCCTGTGGATACATTTTTCACTAAGGGAACAATATAGGGTCAGGAACAGAAACGTGTATTCCTGACCCCCATAGTGTCAAAAATGCAGTTTAGGTCCCTTGCTCTCCTTAAAAACTATTAAAATCTTACCTTTATTCCAGCGCAGTGTGTATCTGCTGGCCCCACCCATGATCTGCCTCCTATAGTGACATACTATATTCCTCAGAACAACTACAATAAGCTGTAGTTGTTCTGGTGACTATAGTGTCTCTTTAAACTCTTTACAAATAACAACTCCAAAAAATGGAGCATGGGCAGATGTTGGTAGACCAGTAGGCCTGCTATATACTTACAGGTTTCATTCCAGTTAACATCCCCACATAGCCCGCAAAACTTGTAGACACAAAAACGGTTTTATTATTTCTTTGGAACTTCACGTTTACAACCAATGGTCTCAATAGTTCTGTGACCGCCCAGGTGTGGTTCTTCACATCCCAGCTAAAATGACAACATAAAGTATGAAACAGAAAAAAAAAAAGTCAATAATTTCTGCAATATCAAGTTGAACAAGAAAAAAAAAAATCACCAGATGTACACAAACAAACTCCCCCCTCAATCTAGTGAACTGATGGCCAAACATTTTACCCTTGCGTGGCCGATTTTTTTAAATTTATTTTTAATTTTATTTTATTTTTTTTAAACAGCCAAATGCGTAAATTTATAGCTTATTTTGTTATTCTTAAAAAAACCAATCAAATAAGCAAACAGAAATATACATTGACTTACCCAAGAAACAATCCAAAATCAAGATTTCTGGCATGATATAGCTTTCCTAGTCGTGAAAAAGATCTAAGTTAGATATAAGCTTTACAAGAAAAGTAAAGAAAAAGAAGAATATAAAAAAGAAAAATAATATCACACAGCACCCTAATGAGAGAAAAATTCCATTATTAGAAGTAAATTGCCATTACCAGATGTATCTTCTGCCACCACTGAAGTACACACCGTGAAGATTTCATAAAATATATTATACATCAGGATTTCCCCTAAAAAGAGCAAAACATAGAAGACTTAATACAAAAAAAGGTATTTTAGTATTTCAAGGCATACCACATTGCGCTAACAAATCCTATAATTAGCAACATAACACAGACTCCCTCACAAGATAAGTAAAGGAATGGCCCATAACACCATGGTCCTCTAAAACTAGCAATGGCTACCAAAACAGAGAGGGATATTACAGGAGAGGGAATAATGACGCATGCAGTCTCTCCAAAAACAAAAAATAACCTTTAAATAATTGCTTTAGTTGGAGACACATTTATTGCTTCTGGGATGCTCAGAGTGGATTTCCACATTTTTCTTTTCTATTGCAAGCTTGTGGGAGCAGGGTTTTCTATAACAGTCTTAATAGCTTCTTATTTGCCATTATATGCCCATATTAACATTGAAAAATGCTGCAGAGCATGTTTGTGCTTTATAAATGCCAATGAAAATAAAAATAAAGAATTGAAGAATGTGACAAAATCAGATTATAAAAAGTTTAGGTCCTGTATTCCAAGAAGAATGTCAGTAGTTGGACATGTGTGTATTACTAGCGCAGGATTAAGGGCTTTGTTGGGCCTATTTACGGAAATGTAATTTACATTAGAATACCTGCATAAACATCACCACTTCAATACACGTAAACTAGACATTCAGGTCATATATACAAAACTTCACCACTGACTGGCTAGCTATTAAAGTCCACAGCAGATATCCGTGTAGACTAATCTTTGGTACATTAAATGTAAAAGCTTGCATTTCCTAAGTTAAGTCATGACCAGTCAAAAAGTTACACATTTTCTTCACCCACCAAGATATGTGTGCAATGTATGTGGTTTTTTCACATTTTTTAAAGATAGGTATGAAAATGCATTTGAATATAAAAGCATACCTCGCAAGTCTCCTGGCTTTGATGGGACCAACAATATACCAATACAGTGGGACCTCGGTTTACAAATGCCTCGGTTAACAATTTTCGGTTTACAAATGAAAATCCATTGAAAATAATGCCTTGGTTTACAAATTGTTTTCGCAATACAAAGCAAGTTTTCCCAGGATGCATTGCACCTGGGAGGTTTATAGCACCGCCCCCTGCATGCTGGAGCCTGTGGGTAGCACGTGGCATCGAGTGTGGAGGCATTGGAGCGGCTTTTGCATCGAGTTTTGGAGCCATTCTGGAAATTGTTTGCAGGGGTTTTGGGACTTTTTGGTGCATTTCTCAAGCTGTGGAAAGGTAGGGAGCTGAGCTTCGTCGTTTGCATGCCTTTTACTGTGTGTTCTGCATTGTGGGTTGGTTCCCATGCCAGATTATTTTGACTTTTTTCTGACCTCCAGAAAGGATTAATTGGCTTTCACTGCATTCCTATAGGAAACCGCGTTTCGGTTTACAAATTTTTCGCAATAAGAAACGTCCCGGAGAACGCATTAAATTCGTCAACTGAGGTCCCACTGTATGTGGGGATATATCCCGCCATCCTATATCGTAAGATACCAGGGAATTATTCCCGATCAGTGAAATAATAGCTAAACCATTATTTCACTTTTTTATTTGTAATACTGACTTCATCAATGTTTCCTCAAGAAACCTCATTGTTTTTGATCAAACAGTTTGAAAAGAGTTTGACCAGAACGGGGGACAATGCCCCCAGCCTTCAAGCACCAAAATCACTACAATGGCATACAGTGGTTTAGTGCCTACACCACCCCTTTAAGAATACTGTTATGTGTGATGATGCAAGAGGGAAACCATTTAAATCACTTTAGAGTAATACAAATATTGATACCAGATGGTATATCTACTCTGATACATCTGATATAGAGATTAGGGTTAAAACTCAAGCAGGGATTGAAAAGTGGTGCAGTCGCCATGAAAATCAGAGGGATATTCCTATTAACTGCTTTAATTTTATAATATTTACTTTTTAAAAAGTGTTTCATAGTAATATGTCAGATACCTGATGCAAAAAGAAAAGACATACCTAATGGCAACCCAGCAGCATCAGCAATACCTTTAATTTCGTCTCCATAGGGATACGGCAGTGTTCCAATTAGCGAAGGCTGGAATACAAAAGCAAAGTTCAAGCATTGATATATGAAGGGTTCTTCAGTGAGATTTATTTAAACACAGCGTGAAGTGCACCATGCTTGGCCATAATCTAACCTGTGTAGAGAGCGCTGTTAATGTGCACTTTAACATACAGATTCTGTTATGTGAAGAGCTCTCATTTATAGGAATTATTTGAACAGCAATTTGCACAGACTATACATTAGTCACCAATGTAAAATGTATCCATACAATTCGCAACAAACATCCATTTGTTCTGAGACCAGTACTTGTACATCGTAAGAAGTTAAGAGTTTCTAACATGGCAAGATTAGGCGAGTCAATTCAGTTTTTATAAAAATCATTCTAATAAGGAATGTTGGACCTTTATTACCAAATGGACAAAAGATGCAGAAAAATAATTTTTACTAAAAAAAAAAAAAAAATCAGAAGCCTATTTCCTGTAGTTTTCAAACTTCAAAATAAACTGTTTAACTGACAAAAGCCATTATAAATGGATTCAATGAGTGAACCAGTCATGGAAAGGTGCACCAACCTCATTTGTTGTTTCCATCAAATATTTTTTTTTATAGGACTGTACCAGAGAACAGTGTAAAACAAAATAATAATAATAAAAAGTTAAGCTAAACGTAAGAGACATTTTGGTGTTAGTGGATCGTTAGCAACTTATAGGATTCCTGACAGTAGTGTCTGGCCTTGGCACTGCATATGTTAAAGGAAAACTATAGCGACCTCCTAATGCTATAAAACTGTGATTGTTAATAATTAAGATTTAAATACCTTTTAGCTCATGCCTCGCCAGTCTCCATGCTACCGGGCCCATCTCCCGGGCTGAGATTGTGAATCTTGATGATCCCCATAGAGACACATTGGGAGGCTAGTGAGCAAGTGCAGCAAATCGTTGCTCTGTGATCTGCATCTTTATGTGGAGTGTTCAGTAACTCCATGCTGAATATGTAGGAACTGCAAAGACTGCAGGATCTCATCCAGGCAGTCCCTCTAGTGGTTGGTTGAGTGACAGCCACTAGAGGTGGACTTAGGCAGCAGTGTAAACGCAGCCTTTTCTCCATAAAGGCAGTGTTCACAATGCTAACTGTGCAGGGACAGGCTCTATATGCCCCAGAACCCCTACATTGAGCTGTAGTGGTTCTGGGGAATGTAGTATCCATTGAATAATTATATTTCCTTCAGGCTGCTGAATGTCATGGGGAATAAAGTTAATTGAATACATGCTTTAGCTACCCGTTGCATTTTATTATCTACAAGACTCCATTCAGAAGCAGACTTGCACACCTAGCCCTTAAATCAGCAGCAGTACATCTTATCTTCTGGCTAGCAGGCTGATATAGCAATAAACCCTGTACAATTTTTCATCACTGAGTGCACAGGCATTGCTTTGTATTTAATGGTTTCAAATAGGAGATTATTAGCTACTTAAACAAAAGTAAACCAGATAAAGGATACTTTCTGCCTTCACTACCAGTTAGGAGATTTACAGACAGATGTTTGGATAATTACACAAAAAAAAAAAAAGTCAATATTTTATTCTTCTGTTACGGCGATGACCTTCCTCATAAGAGAAGTGAAAAATGTGGCCTTTTCCCTTACAACACACACAAAAATACTTCTATAATCATAGGAAAAAATAATAATAATTAATTAAAAATAATTATTTTTTTTGTTAAATGTTACTAAAAATGGATATTGTAGCCTATCCAATGGGCTAATAAAATAAATGATCCATCGCTTACAAAGCGATAAATTGCTCTGTATGCTGATAGCAGCCATTCAATGGCTGCTATCTGTTCACACAAAGTCTGGTTCTCCGTTTAGTGAACCAGGCTATGTGCACCATTTCACATGCAAAGCTTGAACAAAAAAGACACTGACTGACAGTGATGAGGGGAGGCCCTAAAGTGGTCTTACAAATTGCTGTAGTTCAAATTCATTCTCAGAGGTGAGAATAGGGTGCTCTATGCGCCACCTCCTTTGCAATCATGAAAACTTGTGGTGGCGTACAAAATGATCCTTTAACTGAATAACTGCTCAATTGTGGTGTTTGAGACATTTTAAAATCCCCAATCAAGTTTGTAGTTTGTGAGTTGCACAGTAAACAGGACTCTAAAGTTCTATCACATATAGCATAAAAGGTTTATGATAACCTAATGTGCCTTTAACACAATTTTTACTGTTTAAAATAAATAAATAAATAAAATAGGATGTGTACTTACCAACACCTTGTCCACTATCTCCACAAGTTTCCCACTTGGGAAAAAGGCATTAGCCAGATTCTTAATAGCTTGTAATAAACTTGCCAGCTATAAAGAAAAAGAAACGAACAAGTGTGGTGAGATTGCTCAGTGGGCTAATGCTTCATCAGAAGAGTTTTCATCTCTTGGTGCTCATAGGTTCAATTCCCAGCAGGGCTGACTCTTAATGTAAATAAAATGCGTGCTATTAAGTTTGGTATAAGTAACATCCCCCAGTATGCACTTGGAAACCAGAAAATATCTGAATATCTCTAAAAAAAATTCCTACACTGAGAGTAACTTAACACACAAAAATTCATATGCCTTATGCAATTTAGGCAAAACTACATCCACTACATGAACGTATCTGTCATTTCTGCCAACAATCAATTGTTATTCATGAAAGAAATTTAGAATTAAAGAGCAGAATCGTGTTCAGTATTTCAGGCAATGATTAAACGATCATATACTCACTGGAGCCTTTTTGTCACTTATCAACTTTTGCCATCTTTCATGGGGTGCTTGGTCCAAATTCACAGTATACCATTCTATATTTCCTAGAAACCTAAAATAAAAGAGAAATAACTTTGTTGATGTGCTTACCGTATATACTCGAATATAAGACGAGTTTTTCGGCACATTTTTTGTGCTGAAAACCCCCCACTCGTCTTATACTCGAGTGAGTGTCTGTATTATGGCAACTTACATTGCCATAATACAGACAAGGACCGCCGGGCTCATTACAAGCCCGGCGGTCCTGTTGGGGGCTGGCAGGAAGCATTTTATTACCTTTCCTGCAGCTTCTGTCAGCTCCCTTCTGTCTCCTCCGGTCCGGTCAGCTTCCCTGCAAGTCTCGCGAGAGCCACGGCACTCAGACCGCGAGACTTACAGGGGAGCTGACCGGACCGGAGGAGAGAGAAGGGAGCTGACAGGAGCTGCAGGAAAGGTAAGAAAACGCTTCCTGCTAGCCCCCCTCCTGCACAGTGCACACCACATGGGGGACGAAGAAAAATAAACATTTAAATAAAATAACAAAAAATAATATAAAAATATATATTAATATATAATAATAATATAATAAAAATGCCCACCCCCCACCAAGGCTCTGCATCACATACACACACTGCACTCATACACTGCATTCATACACACACACACTGCATTCATTATATATACACACACTGTAAATAAATATTCAATTAATATAATTTTTTGGGGATCTAATTTTATTTAGAAATTTACCAGTAGCTGCTGCATTTCCCACCCTGGTCTTATACTTGAGTAAATACGTTTTCCCAGTTTTTTGGGGTAAAATTAGGGGTCTCGACTTATATTCGGTTCGACTTATACTCGAGTATATACGGTATTTAAAAAAAAAAAGTATAAGGAATAATAATCACATGTAATTGGGAATTATATCAATAATGTTCACGCATGTCCTGAAGGTATGCATGTTACAATAAACAAACTGTATTTAGGGACCAAGGAAAGATGTCAGTCTGAGTCTATTGAACAGGGAACTGAACCTGCGACTCTGAATGTTTACCTAGACTAGATTTACATCAGTTAGAGAGGACTCTTTAATGAGGTAGTTTTCTGATAAATGGGCAAAATGGTCAAAAATGAGTCATTTACAGCAAGCAGAAATAATAATGCTTTTCATGAAAGACTAAAGTACTTAATAGCTTTTTCACAAAAACATTACTTCTACCTGCTATTGGACAATACATAACAAGTGTTGCTCTGAAAGGTTTGTTTTATTTCACTTCTATTTTGTTAGAGTAAAATCAATTAATCAAAGTGATTATCTTGACATATCCTCATTGATGAATTAATTTAGCTCCTCATTTGTATCCTCTGCACAGCAGCACTTTGTAAGCACCATTGTTGCGTGTCACTTTGAAAAGTAAACAAATAATATTAAGCAGTAATTCAATAGCAGATTGATGCTACATTTAGGTTATAAAATGATTTTCCATATGTAACTTACGTTGGGCCATTGGGAGGATACGTTCCACTTCTGCAATCCTCTGTGTACTGAAACAAGAAGTTGACAATATTGTTTGAACACTTCCTAAAATCTTTCTTTTGAATACTGAGAATTCTCTGCACAATCCATTGCATTAGTTGTAGACAATATTAAGAAAAGGGTAATGTTGGTTCTATGATAATATGCAAACCTCTAGTTAATGTAGGGCTTGACAAATCTGCTTGAAATCTAGGAGCCAGGTAACATAAAGTTAGTTTTTTTTTTTTTTTTTTTAAACAAAGCAAGTATCATTTTCAGAGACATAAAATACAATTACAGCTTAATTAATGTAGTGGCTCTGGTGTCTATAGCCTTTCCATGATGGCTTTTCATTGTAAATACAGATTTTTCAGAGAAGAGGCAGTGTTTACATGGCTGCCAAGTAACATCTCTAGTGGCAGTAACTCAGACGGCCACCAGAGGTGATTCCACTTACGTTCAGTGTCTACCCGCTCTGCATGCAGATATTGAATGTTTCCCTTAGAGATGCATTTATTCAATGCATCTCTATGAGGAGATGCTGATTAATGCTATAGGAAAGCATTGGCTTGGCTGAGATTATCAAGATTTATGTCAGCCATGGAGGAGTGGCCAGCCACAGAGATGGAAAAAATGTGAGTAAAGTCACATTTCCCATGCGATTAGATGGGGGGCGTTAAACAAAACAGTAACACTCACTGATTTGACACACTGACATACACACTCACTCTCTCACACACTCAAATTATTATAATTTTAAAAAATTCCAATTTCTACCTTTTGGGAGAGCTGCAGTAGATCAGCTTTCCCTGGGGTCCAGTGAAGCTTCTGTCATCTTCTTGCTAGGCTCCCTCTCCCGCCATTTAGTGATGCTGGGGCGATGTCGTATATATCGACTCCCTGCATCACTGTAGCTCAAGAGGGAGCAGAGAAAGAAGACTACAGCTCCCTCGCTGCTTCCATTCCGCACTGCATTCTCCTTTGCTGCCTCCGTTGAACGGGCTGACAAATCCTTGGGACAGAACAAAATTCCTAGTCGTCATGACGGCCTGCCGCCTAGTATTTTTCAAGCCCTGAGCCCTGAACCATTTGTGTGAAGGTGACACCCTTTGTTTTTAAAACATGAATAAAAATATAGCATTCGTTTGTGCTGTCAGTTTGGTTTTTATGTCTTTTTGCAAAACCAGCACCTTGTTAAACTATTTGAAATGTAGTTTATAATGTTCTCTTTCTATGTTTAGTTTCTCTAGTTTGTACGTGTACCATGCCTTTTGCCTTACATTTTGCAAAGTCTGTCTTGTGTACCCTGCAATTAAATGTTTTCTATGATCAAGATTCTGTAATGTTTTGCATTTAATTGCGGACAATAAAATCTTATTAACGTCTAAACCACCAGTTATGCACAGGCTGCAGACAGAGGTAACGGTTTCTGATTCCTAAATCGGAGAATATCAGGAGGAAGTTTCATTTACAGAGGACAAATATGGGTCATAGCGATGACCCACCAAGAGAGTTATGGAGTAGATTGGGCTAAATCTATAACAGCACTATAACAATTATCCAAACAATCTATTAACAAACAGTAGGACAACTGCAGTTTAAATAAATCAGCATCACCATCACTCTTGTCCAGGGGAACAGAAAAATAGGAACTGCAAAAAAAATAGCTGCAGACCAATTTTACCAACAAAATGCTTAAACTATATGCTCTACTTTCCTGACAACTAATAGAATTTAATTTTTGTGGTTATTAAGGTTAAACTCTGTAGTTTTCGATTTCACTGTGCATTAGGGTTTGTTTACATAGACCATTAAGAACTGAGAATAGTGAATCCTCTCAAAAGGGAACTGTTTTTATTAGGGTATTGCAACAGACTCTGAATTGTCAGAGGCCAGTATTTACAGATAGAATGCTCCCCTTCTAATCTACTTGTTCTGCAATTATGCCTCAATGCAAATGTCGGTTTCTTTAATCCCTATAGGACCCACTACATGTCAAAAATGTCACTATAAACGAATATCTTAAATATGATCATGATGGGGTTAAAAAAGTAAATTATTCTGACATTTTCTCTATGAACAAATAATGTGCGTGTGTAATGAAAATATACAAAAATATTAGTGTGATCTAAAACAATATGATCTACAATCCAATCCTTGAATAAAAGAAACAAGTGAACACCACCACTATGTACAGCATGTATTCAGACAATTGTATTCAGAACTCTGCCTGCCGCCTACCCCCCATAAATGATACATATTTGGGCACATTTGTCCAGTGAACCTTAAAACTGACACAGCAATCGAAGGCGATACAAAACAACAAATCACAACAGAGTCTGTCATTTTCCTGGTTACAATTCCCTAACCCGGAAGAATGTTACATTAACTAACGCAGACCTGCTATGTAAACATGCACCAATGGCACAATCACCAGGAGTCTCTCCAAGCCAAGTGCTCCTACAATAGAACACCACCAGCAATGAGCCCAGTGGTCCTGAAAGGGGGCAATTTAATCATTTTAAATTAATTATAGAATGTTAATCTGTGCCAAAATAATGGTTACCTTATTTATCTTCCTACAACTTCTGCATGATCTCACTGGTAAAAAATGAACACATATTAAATATCAGCCCTGCAGAGCCAGTATCCTATTATATTAAGCGTTGCTCTCAATTAGGGGAAGGCAATCTGGCACTGAAAGGGTTAAGGGAGCCTTGTTTTGGGAAGTATGCACTATAGCAGGATGCGCAGAGTGACCAACTCACCGGGGGCACATCCTGTGCCAGGCTGCCCACAATATACCCTAACAGGAGGAGAGATGAGAACATTCTTAGCCGAACCATCCTGACAGTAGCAGAGTTCTAACCCAGCTCCCTGTCACATGACCAGCCTAAGAGAGCTCATCATGTGATGGGCGGGTAGAGATACACACCCACTGAGACAGTGAGTTCGAGCAGCGAATCCGTGAGGCTGTGACTGGGCAGATTGTCAGTAAAAGCCATGTCACATGGTGACCTATTGTAAGAGAGACCGTGGAATAACAGTGATTATCAGATTGTGTAACTCAGTCAGGGAACACCGACACTAGGATCACATTTAAAGGTGGGAGTGACTGCCTTACTTAGAGGTTGGCTCATTCACTCAAGTGTCATTTTCTGAAAAATGCAAAGTGTACTAAAGAGCTTTATTTTTTTAAAGATTTTTATGGCATAGGGCAAATTAGTGAGGTGGATATTTATGGAACATGCCACTGCAGTCTCACTACTCCGTTCATTGCCATTTAGGAGTAAAATCACTGTTTTTGCAGCCCTAGTCACACCTCCCTGCATGTGCCCTATACAGTCTCCCTACACATATCCCATAAAGAGAGATCTAATATTTAAACTTTCTTTATTGCACAATATGTACAACATTCTGTGCATTCACACTTGATTAAACATTACATTTTTTGTGAGTCACAGCAATTTAACTCCTAAATGGCAGCGATGAGCAGTGAGACTGCAAAGGCATGATCTATACAACAAAACTGCTTAACTAAAGGGACACTGTAGGTACCCAGACCACTTCTGCCCATTGGAGTAGTCTGGGTGCCTTGCCCCTCTCCCCTTAGTCAAAACACTACGGTTTTGGAGAAACCGCAGTGTTTTGATTACAGGGCTAATCCGACCTCTCCAACCGTTCCTAGAGCATGAAAAGTGTTTAAAATGATGTTCGATGTCTCCACGCTCTGCATGAGGATGTCGAGCGTTGCTGGAATCCCCATAGGAAAGCATTATGGGGAGGTAAAATGCGCGTGCCGCCATTGCCACACATGCGCATTAGGTCTCACCCGCCAGCAGCTGGTGGCGGAGCAGAGCCAGCGCCGAGGGACATCATCGCTAAACTCAAGTAAGTGACTGAAGGGGTTTATTAACCCCTTCAGTGCCGTGGGAGGGAGCTTTGACAGAAGGTGAAGCTACAGTGCCAGGAAAACGAGTTTGGCACTATAGTTTCCCTTTAAGATAAAGTTATCTTGGTGCACACAGTATCCCTTTAACTATGAATAGAATTACACAAAGGGGTGAGGGAGCAAAAACCGCACCATCTTTTTCTAATTTTTTACTATCCTTTTATTTTAAAGGGGAAAAAGAGAAAGAACTCAAAATAGATTTACGTTATCAGCCATGATTGCTAAAGGACTCATATGTCTAGTATCTAGATTTGTTTTTGGTAGTTAACGTTAACTCTATACCAAGCCCCCCAAAGGCGTAACTACAAACAACTTCACGCCCCCAGCCACTCTGTTTCCTTCACGCTCCACAGGGTAAGTGTGACGTGTTTGGAAGGGGGGATGAGTATGACAGAATTGTGCGGGCTCATGTGATAGTGTGACAGTGCTAGACGTGAGTGCGATAGGGTGACTAAGGCATGGGTGAGATGGGAGGCGAGTATGGCATGGGTGAGTGACAGGATTTGGGGCGTTTTTGTGAGTGTGGAAAGGTTAAGGGGGTTACAGTGTGTGTGTGGAGGTGTGACAGTTACAGACACACATGCAGATAAACTGACATACATGCAGATACACACCATATAACAGATACAGACACAAACACATGCTGATACACAGACACACAAGCTAACACACAGATACACACACATGCAAATACACAAACTAACACACAGATACACCGAATGAAACTCCTACAGATACTGACACACATGCAGATACAGACACTTAATGACAAACATTCAAATACACAGAATGACACACACACACAGATACATAGGACAGACACTGACATACAGATACACATGCAGACAAACAGATACATATACAGAGGCATACAGACACACACACAAGCAAAATGTTTTATTTACCCTCCTGTTTCCTACCTTTTAGGTGCAGGAGGGTGACTTCATGGGGTCCAGTGGCTAGCTACAGCTGATGTGAGTCAGAGTTCCCACTCTGACTTCCAACTCTTGCGTGGCTCTCGGTATCTGCTGGGAGGAAGTGACTGAGGCTGTCACTTCCTTCCAGCATCTGACATCACAGGGGGCCCGGTCACGCTGTTAAATTCATTCAAGCCCCCAGGAAATTTATTGCATTCCGGTAGCATGGGTCCCTGAACGCGTGGGCCTGGACCACATTACATGGCTGGCATGCACCCGGGTCGCAGGGGTCCACTGGGTGGCCGGCCCCCTGGAGTGATAGGCCGATTGCACCTGTGATCGTGGTAGTTCGGCCACTGAAGCTCCCTTATCCATATACCAACCCTACAACTATGCTTACACTAACAATATGCCTAACCCTAAAATAGCTATAACCACTAACCCAAACCCCAACTAATTGAAGTGTCCTGGGCGCAGTGACCCTGTCCCTTTATAGGGGTACTATAGGCTAGTAATCCAAAATTATATACCTAGCACTATAGTACCCTATCATACCCCCCTAGCTTGGTCCTCCGTCCACGCCACATAAAGGGTTAAAATCCATTCTGTCACTTATATTCCTCAAACACGGATGTCTTACCACTGGGTTAGACTCCACCTCCTCTCGCAATGTCTGAGATCACATGCGTGGTGAGTGCTGCGATCGCATTAGGACAACCACATATGAAAGAAAGCATTGAATCACTGCTTTTCCATGGGGTTTTAGCGGACACTGGATGTCCTCATGCATATCATGAGAATATCCAGTGTCAGATGACCAAAAGACGCCTAACAGCCCGGAAGTGCCTCTAGTGGCTGTCTGGTAGACAGTCTCTAGAGGTGGAGTTAACTCTGCAATTTAATTACTTTGCTCGAGAATATCTAGTGTCATTTCCTGTACAACTACCTAGACACCTTTAGTCACTAAGAAGCGAGAGAGAGTATTTGTGTGTGTGTGTGTGTGTGTGTGTGTGTGTGTGTATATATATATATATATATATATATATATATATATATATATATATATATACACACACACACACGTATGTATTATTTAATTTTCATAAAAAATAGTGCAGAGTTCTTATTATTTATAAAATATTTTACCAGGAAGGATACATTGAGATTTCTCTAGTTTTCAAATATGTCCTGGGTCCACAAAACAGTGCATTGATACAATAGGGTACAATTAACCCCTTAAGGACCAAACTTCTGGAATAAAAGGGAATCTTGACATGTCACACATGTCATTTGTCCTTAAGGGGGTTAAATACAATATATATATATATATATATATATATATATATATAAAAAAAACTTACTACTTCTGGCACTCTTCCCCAACAAAAACTCAAGCACAAAAATTCAGACCAAGGTGCTTTCTCAGTGCAAAATATATAATCCAGGAAAATGAGAGCACTCACTGGGTTTATACAAAATGTGTATTAAATTTTAGACAAAATACATCAACGTTTCGACCGTCAAGCGGTCTTTATCAAGATGTCCAAACAATATAAAAACGAACAATATATAGCATGTGTACAGATAAACTTACCCTATCACCGTGTAAACCCCATTACTCCGACATGCCCCTGTGACCGACGCCGGAAATTGCGTCCTAGCGTGCGTGATGACGTCATGTCATGTGATCGCAAACTAACAGTGGCCTAGTAACGGCAATACAATGTATAATCATGTGATCGCAACTGATCTCAGTTGCTACAAAATTGTTCTGTGCATGTGAAATATAAGACAGGAGAAATAGCCAAAAAATAACAACATGCATGGAGGAAGATAATATTGTTACATGCTGAGTGTGATGGAATAATGTATTATAATGTATTTAGCAGAACATATTGGAGGTATAAAGATACAAAATGATCAGAAAAACGAACAGAAAATAACTAAATGGTGTGAAAAAATCAATCTACATCTAAATCTGAATCTAAGTGTGTATGAAGCTTGACTATGTGTAAATGTACAAAAATCACAAATGTAAAAGTGATGAGGTATGTAATATGTGATGCTGCGGGTGACTAAAGTGAAACTGTGATGAGACTATGTGAATCTGAAAATGTATGGATCCAAATATATAATTCGAACCTATCAGAAAAGTGAAAACAACCAAACAATAAAACGAAACAAAAGAAAAGAAGAAGAAAACAAATCTCTGAAGTAGTGAAGTGACTGCAGAAACTACCATGAAGAAATGACCAGAAATACCTCCAAAGAAACTGCACCAATATGGCTAACCATCACCACACTGTTATCTAATCCTGATATGTAAAAACCTTGAAATATAAGATATTCCAAAACATTCCAAAATGTGTCATATAAAGCTACATTGCGAAAGCTATACATATCAGAACCGATCACAACATTACTAGTATGTAATAGGAATCAATTTCAATAAATTTCAATACATTTCAAAATGTTCCACACAGAATCTAACTATCAAGACATATGGAATCTAACTCAAGGGAGCGGGCTCAAAATTACTTATGCAGTAAACCATTTGGTCTATTAATTCAAAAAATGATAATGAAATTGATGCAAAAAAAACCATCAACTTAAAAACGGGCTACAGATCACTGCAGCCCAACCCGATACAGTAATCTATTAACGAGTGTTCAAAAAGCAGCTAAAGGAATTGTATTCATTCAATCCCTTAGGTTGAACCGTGTCCAGGTAATGAATCCAGAATGTCTCTTTTTGCAACAAGATCTTGGATCTGTCACCCCCTCTAATCAAAGGAGGAATGTGATCAATCACGATGAACTTGAGGGTTGGTAAACGGTGTTGAAATTCTAAAAAGTGTTTTGCCACCGGCTTATCAGTCTTGCCATCTCTAAATGCCGTCATAATTCCCGATCTATGGCCTCTTATGCGGTCTCGAACTGTCATATCCGTCTTGCCCACATAATATTTGCCACAAGGGCAAGAGATCAAATACACAACATGATCACTTAAACAGGTCAAACGGTGTTTGATTTGAATCCGTTTGCCTGTATGTGGATGTGCAAAAGACGAACCTGTCAGCATATGACCACAGGTAACGCAACCTGAACACTTGAAGCAACCTTTCTTTGTGTTTTCCTTTTGAGGATTGTAATAACTCGGCAAGTCTGTTCTCACCAAAATATCTTTTAAGTTCCTATTGCGTGAAAACGCAATACGTGGTGATTGTAAAAAAATGGGATAGAATATCCCATCTCTTTTTGATTTTTTGTGAAAATCTTTGACTTTCAGAATGGAACATAAGTGGAATCGTGATCGGAATGGTTTGATGTTGTTTAGTTTCTGTTCCTTCAAAGATTTTCTTCGCCTTCTCAAGGCAATTCTGTAGAACTTTTTTATATCCCCGCTCTAAAAAAGAACTGGTCATATCCTGAAGTTGTGTATTACAGCTGATTTCTTCTGAATTGTTTCTAAACACTCTTATATATTGTGAGATAGGTAACGAGTTTTTTAAAGCATTTGGATGAGAGCTGTTTGCATGCAATAAGGTATTGCGATCAGATGGTTTTCTGTACAGCCTATATGCTATGCCTTGATCCTTTCGAAATACTTCAACATCCAAAAATTGAATCTTCTCAGTGTTGTGTGTGAGAGTTAATCTAATTGGTGAGTCAAGATTGTTAAGTTCAACCACCATGGTTTCCAGCTCCTCTATCGTGCCTTTCCACAAAATAAAAATGTCGTCCACAAATCTGTGGTATGATGTTAATTGCTCTTGATATTTACACAATATATGTGTATTTTCATATGCAAACATGAAACTATTGGCATATGTAGGCGCTATTGCCGATCCCATGGCTGTGCCAGTTTCTTGGATGTAAAAATTTTTTTCAAAACGGAAATAATTATTAGACAATGTAAGAAATAATCCTTCAAGTAGGAATTCAACTGGAGGCCCTTCATAAACTTCTGATTTGGAAAGAAGAGTGCGCATTGCTTCTATGCCCTTAGTGTGAGGAATCACAGTATAAAGATTCTTAACATCTGCCGTAGCAAAGATGTACTGAGAATCTGCAAGTTTGCAATCTTTGATTTTGTTGAGAAAATCTTGAGTATCCTTTAAACAAGTGGGTAATCGTGCCACTGTAGGTTTACAAAAGAAATCTATAAACTTAGCCACCGGCTCCAATACTCCCCCCCGAGCAGATACTATAGGTCTGCCCGGAGGGTTTTGAGGATCTTTGTGTATCTTCGGTAGGGTGTACAGTATCGGAATTTTCGGGTGTTTATTTAATAAAAATTCTGCCGTATGATGATCAATCCAATTTGCTGTAACACCCAACTGAATCCAATTGTGTATTTTGGTGCTGATTTTATCTGTAGGATCAAAGGTTAGTTTTTTGTATGTCTTAATATCAGACAATTGTGACAAGATTTCTTTTCTGTAGTCGATGTAATCCTGTAAGACGATGGCTCCCCCTTTATCTGCGGATCGAATCACTAGTGTGTCATCTTTGCTCAGATCCTTTAAAGCAACTCTTTCAGTGCGTGTAAGATTATCTGGTCTGTTTACTTGTTCAGACATGATTTTATTCATATCTGTTTTCAGGGTGGTTGAGAAGGTTTTAATTGAATGGTGAACATTCTTGGGTTCCCATGTGCTTTTCAGTTTAAATTGAGAACCTGTTCTTGGTGTAAACGTGTTTTGTAGAGCTTGTATATTTAATGTTCTATTAATCTTGAACAATTCAACATCCATCTTAAATTGCTCTGGTTTAGAGGTGGGAACAAATGAAAGTCCTTTAGATAGTACATTAATATGATCAGAGTTTAGAATTTTAGATGATAAATTAAAAATAGGATTCATTTCCTCTTTATTGGTGGTTTTGATCTTGTGTTTATTTAGCCTGTTCTTTTGTCCTCTTCTGATGGGTCTCCATCTTTTGAGCCTCTTCTTGGGCGCATAGACTGGCCAGGAGGATCGTTGGTATGTTGTGCCATCTCTAAAAAAGTCGAGGAATGTGGTTGATATGTTGCTCGCATGGGACCTCCCTGGCTTGAATCAGACCTAGTCTGTCTCGGAAGTTGATTCTGCTGAACTGGTTGCAATGGAAACAAATTGTGGTTTACGAACTCGCTGTTTATTCCTTTGAAAAGGTGGTTTACGTCTTTCTCCCGTAATCCAATGATACACCTGGTGATGTGTGTAATCAAAGTTAACTTTTTCCAGCTTCTGTTTTTTAAATCTTATCAGTTCATTTCTGTATCTCATAATTTCATCTTGTAATTTCACCATATATTGAGTAGATGAAGCTGCGTTTAGAATGGTTACATGAGACATTTCAAATTTGTTAATTGAGTCCTTAGTGAATACTAACTCATTCTTAACCTCATCCACCACTATGATCATCCAGTCCAATGAGCACTTGTTAGCGATTCCTATCCATTTTTTTACAGAATTCTGGATTTTGTCTCCCAATCGTGGGTGAGTTCCTTACCCTGAAGCCTCTTGGAATTCTTTTCGCCCGATAATAATCGGATATGAATATTCCATGTAGATCTAAGTCCACTTCCCGTCTCTTTAATTTCATTAAATCATTATATAAATCCTTGATGGAGTCTGTGTGAATCAGATCAGCTGTGGTGTTAGGCCATAAGATGTTTTCTGCTTCTTGAGCTGAGATCTGAATTACTTCAGCTGTATCAGCTAGGGCTCCAGCCCTCAACAAAAAATCCTCCATGATAAACCTTGATACAGGGGTGGCACTTTATAAGTGCAAATTTATCATGACCAAAGCAAAGCAAAAATAAATAAAAATAAATAAAAATAAATTTGGAGGTGCAACAGACAGTGTGGCACAACACACTATGTATACAAAAAACTTACTACTTCTGGCACTCTTCCCCAACAAAAACTCAAGCACAAAAATTCAGACCAAGGTGCTTTCTCAGTGCAAAATATATAATCCAGGAAAATGAGAGCACTCACTGGGTTTATACAAAATGTGTATTAAATTTTAGACAAAATACATCAACGTTTCGACCATCAAGCGGTCTTTATCAAGATGTCCAAACAATATAAAAACG